TGATTTACTTCTCTGCTTTGTGTTTGCACATCGCCATCTGTGATTGTCACTGCGAGCACCATCTTCTTTATTGGCCTTGACTGCTGCAAGGTGTGCGGAGGGCTCTCCTATCTATCCACGCTATTACTACAACATTGAGTTATTGCTTGCTGTTAACAAAAAGTGGTCTATTAATAAAAACGTTGCATAGCTTTTTCCTTCAGCGAAACTGCAGTTATAATCTTTCTGTGTGAGTTATAAGAATGGGGCAAAAACAAATGGGGGTTATTCATGACAGAGCCGAAGGATCCAGCCGTAGCTTCGGCTGATCCTTCAGCTTGCTTCGGCCGCCTGAGCCCTTCGGTTCAGTTAAACCTACCAGTTAAAACTACCATACCCAAAATTGACCATAGCCGACGCTTTAAAAGCTTTTACCGGTACTGCAGTGAAGGAATCCGTGTGCAGCGTCGAGGAGAAAGCAGACCGCCATCATGTTCCACACTATGTTGACCCACGCCCGAAACACCCCAGCTTGATTCCTCTGTTCTTGTTCGTGGGATGTGGGGGTGTTGGTTCACTTCTGTACGCTTTGCGAGTGACTATGAGGAGCCCAGAAATCGCTTGGGACAAGAAGAACAACCCAGAGCCCTGGAATAAGCGCGGCCCAAACTACCAGTACAAGTTTTACAACGAGACCGTCGACTACAAGAACCTGAAGAAGGAAGGACCCGACTACTAAGGCGCTCATTCGTCGCCGCAAGCCGCCAGTCACCGGAGCTGCTTCTCATGCTGTCCAGGAATGTCCATGTCCCTCCTTATTTAATCAGATCAGACCTGTAAATTGAATTGGCACGGCTCTGTCTGTCTTGGTAATGTGTTTAGTTGAGCTTAATACAATTAAACCAATTAAAAAAAAAAAAGCTTTTACCGCTCATAAGTTTAGTGTTAACAGTGATTAATGGCCCTAGAATTATTGCTCTCACTCCGACGTTCGCGGCGATATGTAACATGTGCAGCGCAATGGATGTAATCGTCGTTTTCACACGTAGGCGGACTCGACGCATGTTTGCGTGTGCATGTGGGGGCGGGGGACTTTAATTTTTTTTACATTGTTTTTAATTGCTTTGATATGTGACTTTTAATTTTTTTTGTAACTCATTTTTTTAAACCTTTTTTTCACTTAACTTTATTGCTATCACATAGGGAGCAAACAAGCTGAGGGGCGGGCTTCCGATGACTGCAATGCTGAACGGGCAGTGTGTGCGAGCGCACACCGGCTCGTTCGGCATTTGTCTCCCAAGCACCGTTCAAACCAGCCGAAAAAGATTTTCGGATGGTTTTCTAGCATGCTCCTAAGACAAAGGACGTGCGACCGTACAGCAGAAACGGTCGCACGTCTTCATTCACACGAGAATCGTGCAGTGTATGGGCACCTTAAGTTGGGTTTCCAAATTAGTTATTAGGGTGGGGTGTGCTCATGAGTTGTGCTTCGTCTACCAGACTTTGCTGTGACAGAGTACTGTGCTGGAGTGGCAGCATGTGACAGTAGTTCTGTGGGGACCAATCAGTACAGTAAACATCATAGTAGGAGGGATTGGCTATAGCAAAACCCATGAGCATGCTCAGAACTGGGGTAGTTTTGTTCCTGCCTCTCCCCTGTTGGGAGGTTGGTGCTCAGGTGCTGGGTGGCTAGGCCCTCAAGGCTTAACCGCATGGAATGCCATGTGCCATCAGATTTTGCTGGATCAACTACAGTGACCTAACCCATGTTAACAAAGGTCATGGGGACACTGGAGTCACCACCGGAACCTCCACTGGTCCAGGCTATAATATATCCTGAAGCAGAGTATACACTGGAACCTCTGAGGGAATGGAGACACTTTTGGCAAAAGGGAGAAGATGGACCTTCCACTAGGATCTGTACGCCTTTCTAGAAGTGCAGCTACTATATCACCAGCATTTCGAGTATTCCAGCACACCTATCTATCATTGTTATTCCAAGTTCTACAATAAATGTTTAAAAGGCATCCATGGACTCTCGAGCTCATTACTACTGCAAGGAGGACTTATGTGAGTACTTACACTTGGGGACAAGGTTATCTCATATGGGGGTCCCACTTGTACATAACAAGGCCCAGTTGGGTGGAGGCACTGCCAGTACAATTGCTCACAGCCCCTTTACTCCCACTTAGCGGAGGCTCAGGACTTTTGGTTGCCCACAGGTCAGCAGCGGTAGTTGATCGGAGACAGTCATCTTACATGACCCCCCCCTCGAAACAGGGCTACACTCTTAACCCCTTCATGACTGAGGCCCTTTTTTCATTTTTTGCACCCATGTTATATATTTACAAGATATCAGGGCCAGTGCACAGGGAACCAGCTAATTCTGCAGGAAACTAAAACTTTTAAACACCAAGGAGCAGCATTCATTGTAAATGATTTAATCAGCAAATAACTTAAAATCATTTAAAATTTAATACCACTTTAAAATAAGTCATAGTGCGCATAAGTGATTTACTTCAAGAACCCTGGATTAAACCAAAAGTCTACTATATAGGTCTGTATATATTTGCAGATATATTGTAGTAATTTGTATTGTATGTTATGCCCAGGTTTTCAGCACAATAACTAACTGTCAGTGTATGAAATCTAGATATACAGTAATAGGATTTGCCCAGATTTCATTTGCATAATTTTAGCTATAGCCATTTGGGTAAAACTGATTCATACATTTAAAGGAGAACTATGAGGTGAGTGCTTTTCACTCACCTAGTCACTTTCTGAGAAAGAAGAAGGTCTGCAGTGAATACATCATATAAGTAGGAAATTACATTTCTGGGGGTGATCAATAGACTAGTCTTAGTTATAAACAAGTGATGTTTGAATTTTTTGGACATTTTAGAAAATCAGATGGTTGCAGATTGAAACAGAAAGCTCATTTAATTAACATTACTTTACAGAATGACTTTTTTAAACAGGCGGTCCAATTAAATCCCCTTGTCAGTTCTTCAGGCAGCTCTGATCAGAAGCTAAATGTTAGTGTATGGGCAGCTATAGAGCTGTAGAAGGAGTCTAAACAACCCCCAGATATTTCACTTTTGAAATAGAAAAAGAAATTGAGGACACATATCTCTTTTTCTGCAGCCTCTGTTTTGAATGAAAGGAACGTACAGAGGCTTCCCATTAGATATATTTACTATCAACCAGTTTCGGAATGCGAGAAGCCTCTGTACTAAGTGCTACTACCCATTCAGAAACTCATGAATGAACAGGAAGTGATGTAAAGCACTTCCTGTTGATTCATAACTGGCTGTTCAGGGGCTTCAGAATACAACAACTTGCAGCGAAGGATTCTTCTATCCACATGGATGGGGCAATCTAAGGATTTCTCTTGTTAATCCCAGCATCTAACAGTATATGGCCAGCTTTAGTCCAGTAATGCACATAAGCATTTAATGAATACTGTGACATGCCAATAAAGTTAAAAGCAGCTTGTGTGCTTGTCGGAGCTTTGATTGCTGACTTGGTTATCAAATGTGCAAGCACCCGATGTTTAGTTTACTAATTTGTATTGAGATTGTAGTCCATCTCGGGAGTCAGCATGGAGCAGTGACTACTTTACAACACACATTGACAGCTTATTCACTTCTGGCTTGTATGGCTGATTTCAGCCGTACATCGACTGAAATCAGCCGTACATCGGCTTGTTTCATGTTGGCCGAACATGTTCAGTCTTTCAGCCGACCCGAGGTGCAGAAGGAGTTCAACTCAACCGATCTGGATCGGCTGAGCCAAACCTCCAGCAGGCTACTCGCTGCTGTTCGGCCTATTCTCATAGGGGCCGAACAGCAGTGAGTGACTAGCCGAATGCCGCCGAGCGGCATTTTCGGCTCGGCTATTCCGCTCTGTACCTCTGTGGTACCGAGCAAAAGAGAAAAAGTGAAAAAAAGTAGAAAACAATTGGGCGGTGGCAGCTAGCTCCACCCAACTGTTTCCTTTTGGCCGGGAACTGCTAGGGAAGGTCCCGGTCAATAAAGAACAACTGGGCAGGAGCCGGCCGTGATATCTCCGCTGAGTTCTTCATGTGTAATGACAGATCAGCGTCCCCTGGTTACCAGGTAACCAAGGGACGCTGATCTGTCATTACACACGGAGAACTCGGCGGAGCCGCCGTGATATCACATTGTGATGACAGATCAGCAGTCAGTAGCAGACTTTCGCCCGGCCAATGGCCGGCCGTTTGGCCCAGTTCGGCTGTCACCTCAGTTCAGTCCAGCCGAAGCATATGCCTTCGGGTCGACCGAGCTGCTTGGCCAACTTCGGAGCTGTACGGGCCATAATGAATAGCCCGTACAGCAGCCCTTCGGCTCAGCGGCCGAGGATAGCCGAAGGATCAGCCGGAGCTACGGCTGATCCTTCGGATAGCTTTGTAAATAACCCCCATAGTACTATGTGTCCCCAGTTATTTACAAACACTGGAGTGATCAGCTGATCACTCCGGTGTTTGTTCTGCACAAAGAGGATCGGTAAATATCACTGATATTTACCAATCCTCACGCTCTCCATCCTGAGCCGCTCAGCCATGCTGCCCCACTTCTCCCTGCCACGCTGAGCCCTGGGAGCCGGCCCTCCCCGCACCTGAGGCGAGTGCCTCAGTCGCCTCGCCCATACTACGCCCTGGGCAGCCAAAAGGATGCGCGTCCATTTACATCTGGTTACCCCCTGACTGCTTCCAGGTCCAGAAAACCAAATGGATCTGATTGTGACAGAACAGAGGTAAAGTTCAGTTTTTCAACGATGACATCCTTTCTACAGGCGCCCATGTGAAATAAGCCTTAGGCAGCAATTATTTATGTTTGGCACCTGCAGGAGCAGAGTGACATTAAATTAACATGGTGTTCTGACAAATGCAACTTTTCTTGTAGTGCTGACAATATATTCCATTATTCTGCACATGTCTAATCATCGTGGTAATGTTGTGTGCTTATATGGCAATGTGAGCATGCTTCTTTTTATTGCAGGGTGTTTACTGTCCTCGAGCATATATTGGTACCCAGGGTCCCCTACCAAGTACCGTTGTAGACTTCTGGAGAATGATCTGGGAATACAATGTCGGGGTAAGATATTCCATCTCATGTCAATAATAAAATATAAAGCTGCTGGAGTTTTGGCAACTAAAGCTGGCCATCAGCACCTCAAATGTCACCCAATTATTGCTGAATTGGCCAATATCTGAGCTGTGGTTAGCCCTGCCAGCACAACCTAGTTATTCAAAACAATTTCAATGGACTGTTTTTGAAAGAGCCAGGTGGAAAATTATCACCTGAACAGTGTGTGCACCCAATCAGAGGCAGGAACTGTTCAGTGGCTTCTGAATACAACTTGCAGCGAGGATTCTTCTATCCACATGGATGGGGCAATCTAAGGATTTCTCTTGTTAATCCCAGCATCTAACAGTATATGCACATAAGCATTTAATGAACACTGTGACATGCCAATAAAGTTAAAAGCAGCTTATGTGCTTGTCGGAGCTTTGATTTCTGACTTGGTTATCAAATGTGCAAGCACCGGATGTTTAATTTACTAATTTGTATTGAGATTGTAGTGCATCACGGGAGTCAGCTTGGAGCAGTGACTACTTTACAACACACAGGGACCATGGGGAACAAATATAGCCAAGGCTTCCATTCAAAACAATGATTTTAGTTAAGTAAGATGTTAAAAAATAAGTACATTCGTTTTGAAATCGAGAGCACACTTTTCAGCTGCAGTATGGTGAGCTTGATCAGCTATTTTTTTGCATGGGGCTACAGATGCAGTATAGTATGAGAACAGCGAGACCATCACTTCACCCAGCTACAGAGGTGCCAGTGTTAGGGCCTATTTTAATGGGCCTTTGTTCATGTCAGAACTGTTTCTCTTCTCATACAAGTCAATGGAGATGCAAAATCAGCGTGAAGCAATTTATTGGAGCTTAGGAGCTCAAATGCAGACCAGAAGGAAGTCAACTGCAGGTCAAATACACCTGTGCATGTACATGTATGTAAAATTTTAGACATAGACTGGGTACATCCAAGATTTTAGTGATGGCATATACCCGATGACAACAGTGTACAGCCATTGACTTTAATGTGAGTGGCTGTGCACTACCTGGGGCCCTCTGCCAGTGGTTATAACCTGGCATTTACAGTGTACAGGAGCCACTGCCCATGTGCAAGAGCCCTAAAGCAAGCTGCTGTTGCCCATGAACACTAACTCTTAACTTTTGTGCTGCAGAATATTTATGATCCTAAACTCATGTTTTATATCCTGTTCTCTATGCAGATTATTGTAATGGCCTGTATGGAGTTTGAAATGGGGAAGGTAAGTATAGCATTTATTTGAACCCCTATTGCATGGAGAAACTGGTATTTTCTAGTTCTACCTGTTGTTGCAATGTGGTGGAGTGGTTATAATTCCTGCTTGGTTGCACTGGGTTTAAGCCCTCGTTCACACCTGAACGTTTTGTAGCGCGTTCTACGCTCGACGAACGCTCTACAAAACGCTCAAACATCTAAATCCCATTGTATTCAATGGGTCTGGTTCACACCTTGGCGTATTTCAGCCCGTCCCTAACGCGCTACAAAACGGCCCACACCTGAAAAGGTACATGTACTACTTTGGGCCGTTTTTATTGCGCGTTTCCATTGGGATACAGCCAAGTAGCCCTCGGAAACGCGCGTCTGTGGCGCGATTTTTTTACCGCGAATCGCGGTAAAAAAACACGCGACAGACGCGCATATGCAATACGCCTAGGTGTGAACCAGGGCTTAATCTCACAAGCCTGAGTCTGCATGTTCCAGTGTGGTGTTGCACTTTTCTTCCAAATACTAACCACCTGTGCTTGACTGGAAACCTATCCAGGTTAGGGACTAATAAGTGCCTCATATCTCTGAATTTCATGTAGTATCTCATGTCTTTCCATTACATGAAACACCCATTTATCTCTGTATTACACACAGTGCCTCTTGCCTCTATAACAAAGTGTTATTTATACCTCTCTTTTACATGCAGTGTCTCTTATCTCTGTATTTCATACAGTGCTCCCGTATCTCTGTATTATACCCAGTGCCTCATATCTCTGTATTTCACACAGTGGCTGCATATCTCTGCAGTACATGCTATGCCTCATACCACTAATTACAAATAGTGCCTTTCTCCTCCGTGTCTCAGGCTGCGACAAAATAATTTCTTAAGAATTTAGGATATTGGTACACTCATCTTTGTGGTGCGTTTAGCAGACCAAACATGTTACAATCTGACTGCATAATCTACTATGGTTAGGTGGGAGAAAACAAGTAGGGCCCTCCTAACCCTACTGAATTGTATTGTATTGTATTTTATTGTATTGTATGTCTCCCAGTATTTTGTAAAGTGCTGTGAAAACTGTTGGTGCTATATAAATCCTGTATACTACTACTACTACTACTATTAATAATAATGTTAATAAAAGAAGGGATTGCAAAATGCTTTTCCTGTGTTAGGATAACTACAGGAATTACAGTTCCATTGTAGGATCTCTTAGACTTAACAACATTTATATAGTGTAAGAACCTACCTTTATAAGCCATTCAATATACATCCAGCTTGCAGAACCCTCTTTAAATATAGTTGTAGGTAAATATAAGGCCTCATTCACACCATCCTCGATTGTGTCCGGAACGCACTGGATCGCATTGCAGCCGCGTCAGTTTGTTGTGGGGCGGGAGGGCCGCAATGCAATCGGCTGCAATGGAACGCAAGGCACATTAATGACTGTGGTCCGGTCAGAAAAAATGCTGCAAGCACAATTTTTTTTGACCAGAACGGACCACAGGCATTAATGTGCCATAATCGGGCACATCACTGCTCGTGGTGTGAACGAGGCCTAGATTGTACAAGCAGCTTGTACTATTAAATTTTTTACATCTGTTGATTTAATACACACCTCTAAGGTTATTTACATAAAGCTGATCTCTTTCACACGTGTCTATAACCCAAAGCCAAAATTCAATATTTTACTGTAAACTAAAGCCTGGTCGGTTACTAGGGAATACAACACACTGTAAAAAAAAAAAAAAAAGCTTCCTTATTCACATTTTACATTTTTGTTAATACTAGTTGAGGCTATTCCAAAAAGGATGACTAGTTTGGCTTGTGCCTCACTAAAGACTTTCAGCAACAAAATAAAACATAGTTGCAGTTGATCAGCAGGACAGCAATCACATAGGGGTCTATTCACAAAGCTGCCGAAGGATCTGGCCGTAGCTTCGGCCGATCCTTCGGCTAGAGTTTTCAATTTTTTTACAGCAGCAGAGCCGCCGGACAATAGGAAACTATTGGGCGGAGCTAGCTGTCACTGCTAGCTCTGCACAATTGTTTTCTATTTACTTTTTTACAGCAGCAGAGCCGCCGGACAATAGGAAACTATTGGGCGGAGCTAGCTGTCACTGCTAGCTCTGCACAATCGTTTTCTATTTACTTTTTTCTACTTTTTTCACTCTTTTTCTGTTCTGCTCGGTGCCTCTGAGGGACCGAGCAGAACAGCCGAGCCAAATGCCGCTCGGCGGCATTCGGCTATTCTCTCACTGCTGTTCGGGATCTTTCAGAATAGCCCGAACAGCAGTGTGAAGCCTGCCGGAGGTTCGGCTCAGCCGATCCAGATGTTGGATCGGCTGAGTCGAACTCCTTCTGCACTTCGGGTCAGCCGAACATGCTGAGCATGTTCGGCTGATCCGAAGCCACACGAAGCAAGCCGATGTACGGCTGATTTCAGCCGATGTACGGCTGAAATCAGCCGTACCAGCCTGAAGTGAATAGCCGAACAGTGTTCGGCTCACTTCACTTCTGATCGGTCATTCACTCGGCTGCCCTCGGCAGCTTTGTGAATAGACCCCATAGTTTTCAAAAGAGACACTTCCTCTTCACAGCTATGGCTTTTCTGAGTTGGCAATGAGGCAGTTCAGCGATATTAACATGCAACTATGCTCTAAAGTTTTTTGTAAAATATTTTCTTTTTTGCACTATTCAAACAATTCAATAAATGGCAGCTTGTATAAGAAAACTGAAATGTGTGGCCAGTCTATGCTATGTGTCTCTAGACTTTATACAGCAAATAAAACAATTGCCAAAAAGAAAGAAATTTCAGTTAAAAAGGATCATAACTGTTCTAGCCAGTTCTGCAATCAGCTGAGAGCTCATTAAGACTCTCTAAATGATATCCTTTATGAGATGATGTATGCAGCGCTCATAAAATCATGTCAGCGCTGCATTGAAAATATCTGTGAATGGTAAGTGTACAGGATAAAGAAGCATAACATACTCTGGAGGGAAAGGTGCTTTATATTAGCTCACCTAATGAAGGCAGCATGTCAGCAATTTCTAATAAAGAAGATGTAAGACAGGGGTGCCCATTAGGTCGATCGCGATCTACCGGTCGATCGCGTAGTTATCACTGGTAGATCGTGATGTCCTGTCTTCTCTGGATCCCCGCTGCTCTCCCCCATCCGTATGCAGCGGGGATCTGAGGAAAAGTGAAGCTGCAGTCGGTGGAGGAAGGAGCCGCTAAACATCACTTCCTGTTCATTCATGAGTTTTTTCAATGGGGGGGAGCACTCTGTACAGAGGCAACACCCCATTCAGAAACTGGTGATAGTAAATATTTTCTGAATGAATGCTTTCCATTCATTTAGAACAGAGGCTGCAGAAAAAGAAATTGAGGTCCTCAATTTCTTTTTCTATTTTAAAAGGGAAATATCAGGGGGCTGTTTAGACCCCTAATATTTCCCGGAAGCCCCCCCAACAGTAAAAAAAATAGGCAATGCTCCCGCGGTGCTTGTGCAGCTGCCGGCTGAATGTGTCAGACGCTGCAGACGGAAAGGGGTGAGACACCTCTCCCCGTGTGCAACGTCGGCCACACGAGCACCGCGGGAGGATAGGACGCCGGTGCCTCTAGAACGCACTGGAATGCAAGCCGGCCGACTCCCTGCGTTCAGGGGCGGGAGGGTGTTGCACTGCAGCCATGTCCCCCGCCAAAAGTTTGATCGCCCGCACCTGGAATGCAGGCACATTAGTGCCTGCATTCCAGACCTGTGTGATCTGCAAAAATAGTGCTTGCAGCATTTTTGCGGATCGCACTGGACCAGAACGCAGGTACTAATGTGCCTGGGTTCCGGGTGCAGGCGATCGCACTGTGGGCGAGAGGCCTGGCTGCGGTGCCATTGACTTCAATGCACCGCCAGGCCCCCTCCCGCCCCATGAACGCAGGTGTTTTTTTGTTGGTAGATCTTATTGAGCTCGTCATTTGAAAAGTAGATCTCCAGATGAAAAATTGTGGGCGCCCCTGATGTAAGAGATATTAGAGGGCAAATGATCTCCTTGTGTTCTTGATTATCTCCTTCTTATTACTCCTCAATAATGTGTAAAAAGGAACTCACAACATGAGACTGTGATCCCAAAAGAGAACGTTTAGAGTATAGGTTGGCTACAAATATATAATTCCCTGAAAAAAAAAACTAATTTTACTTCTCACATATGGATAAATAAGACCAACTGGTAAAGCAGTCAAGAAGTTATAGTCAATTTAACCGATGCATAGATGCATACTGACGCTGGCAAATTTGGTAAATTGACTTCTGGTCACAAAAGGGTTCAAATGTTGACAGGCGATTAAACTTGCAAACAGGTTAAAAATGTTGTGTAGTGTGCCTTCAATATATTTTTCCCCTTTTTTGAGAATTAGCTTTATATTTAACAGACTATGAAATTGTGTCATTTAAATGTCTTTATTGTGTTTTTGTATGACTAGAAAAAATGTGAGCGCTACTGGGTTGAGGCAGGATGTGAAGTCTTACAGTGTGGTCCATTCTTAATCACATGTGTGAGTATCATGAGAATAATTCCATTACATAAAAACAATGCATTTCCTTATTTGTCCTATCCACATGACATATTGATCGTTCTTCTTCTAGAGTAATGAAGACAAAAGAAAGGACTATGTTATCAGGACCCTGATAGCAACTTATGGAAGTGTAAGCTGATTTTTTTCTATTTCTCTTTCATACCAAGACAGATATAGTTACATAGTATTTGAGGTTGAATAAAGACATTAGTCCATCAAGTCCAACCCATTAGGATCTCACTCTAGGAGCACCTGTACCCCTGTATATTACGGTCCCTTAAGAAATCGTCCAAAAGTCTCTTGAACAATTCCACATTCTTTGCTGAAAATAGAATAGAATAGAATAGAATAGATTTATGAACTTGGTGATGGAACACCTCGCCAACGCGATCAGAAGTAATGACTCAGTCCGGGGACTTCAGATAGGCACTCAGATTCACAAACTTGGCCTGTATGCAAATGACTTGCTGTTGTATCTCTCTAACCCTCTAGTGGGCATTCCCTCCTTGATGGACGAATTCAAGCTTTTCGGACGCTTGTCCAACTACCGGGTGAACCTTCAGAAGTGCGAACTCTTGAACATTTCCTTGCCATAGGCTGAAGCAGACTGTGTGAGTGGCTCCTTCCCCTTTTCTTTGCGATCCGACTACCTGACTTATCTGGGGGTTCGCATCCCTGCCAATCTAGCAGATCTATATTCCCTTAATTATGCCCCCCCCCCCCCTGCTGCGGTCCATCGAAGATGCACTCCTTTCCTGGATGAATCTCCACCACACTTGGTTTGGCAGAATTGCTCTCTTTAAAATGAATCTACTCCCTCGCTGCCTCTACCTGTTTCAAACTCTTCCCATTCGCCTTCCCACACTCTTTTTTCGCAGGTTGAGGTCTGCCACCTTGTAATATATCTGGAGGTGTCGTACACTGCGAATTCGCTATACAGTCCTAACAATGCGGAGGGACCGGAGTGGGGCCCCTCTCCCAGACTTGGAGCTCTATTATAGAGCCACTCACATGTCCCACTTGGTTGAATGGATTGACACCAGAGATCCTGCTCTCTGGGTTTCCCTCGAGCGGGAACTGACTCCGACCCCCCTGACAAATCTCCCGTGGCTCCCATCCTTGCGTCGACCACCTAGCTCCGTATTACCCTTTTTTCTTATCCCAGTGCTTAAAGTGTGGGACTCCACAATGCTTAAATACAAACTGTCCACTCAATCGGGGCCTGATGACCCCAGTCTTAGCCCACCCGGAGTTTCCTCCACGATGTGGGGTTCCTACATTTTTTAATTGGGAGGTGACGGCTCCTTGTTACATTTTTCAGGGACTTTGTGAGGGCATTTTAAAACCCCTGTCTCATCTGTTCGATCCTGACCCTCCACTGATAGCCTCCTGGTTTGCTTACCATCAACTTTAACACTTTTTACGTGGGTTTTCTTTATCTGGTTCCCTGCAAAGATCTCTCACTCCCTTATGAACGAATGTGTGCCACTGGTGAACCTCCCTCACATCTTATATCCTTCCTCTATGACTCCCTGATCTCCATGGAGGATAAGGGTCCCCATACTTCTTATATGCGTGGGAACGAGAACTGGCCGTGGGTACTTTCCGAGGAGGATAGACGGAAATTCTTTTGCTTTACGCATAGCCTCTCTATGTCCTCATCGGTGCAGGAACGCAATTTCAAACTTCTGACCAGATGGTACAGAGTTCCGGCTGGGATGCACCAGATTTTTCCCTCCCACTCCAATGTCTGCTGGAGATGCCAGGGGGACGTTGGTACGTTAACGCACATCTGGTGGAGCTGCCCCTTGATTGTGCCCTATTGGCGAGCCATCTCACACGTGTATTCGAAAATGACCGCTAGTGAGTTCCTTCGCACACCTCAGATGGCAATACTATCTGTCTTATCAGGCTCCATCTCCAAAGCAAAGAAATCTCTCCTGAGATTTTTTGTGAATACTGCCAGGGCACTGATTCCTAGGCATTGTAACTCTCAGATGATTCCTACCTTGGGGGAGTGGACTGCAGAATTGTGCCGCTTAATGAGATCTGAGGAGATGATTGCCGAATGGTCGGACAGGTCAGACTCCTTTCTATCCAGACAGATCTTGTCTCGTTGTGTGTTTATTTTGTGTTGTCTATGTCTGGTAGCCTTAGGGATTGCACTTATTTTGACCTTTTTACTGGGTTTATGCCTCTCTGTAAGGTCCCATGTCCTCCTTTCAACATTGAGGCCCCCGAGGCCTTGCCTCCCTCAGGTGTGACAGTCCCCTCTGAGGTGGACCATTTTGTCAGTGAATCCCCCTGTGGGGGTGGGTAGTTTGACAGGGGGTACAGTCTGACCAAGGGCCCACTATCATATATACTGCTGGTTTTAAGTAATTATATGGTGTATCCTTTACCATTGATCACCCTTTGCTGCCTTCTGTATGTTTTTACATATATTGTCTGTGAAAATCTTTAATAAAAACTATTTCTGCAAAAAAAATAGATTTATGAGCAATAGTACACACACAAATACAAGCACAATTAAATGTGTTGATGATTGCAATCAGTCAGGTTCCATTTTTTAATTATGTAAGACATATTTCCGTCCTTCTTTTTAGTTTGTTTGAAGCAGCTCTGTATTTTTATAGTTAGAGCGAAGGAAATATATCAAGGCCCCCTCCTCCCCCCTCCTTCCCCCACTGGAGCATCACCATGCCACTCTGTATTCACAGTATAATGACGCATTGAACAGCACTCGCAACATAATTTCTGCATAATTTGCTGTTCTGCTTCACTGAGAATCACTCGGTACTGTTGAAGAGGTGAAGAGGAAGAAGACCCTGTTCCATCAAATGCCCAGCCCGAATGTTAGCTAAAAATAAATAAATGCCAAAAGAAAAATATGCTGGCTGGGGACACCCTGGGGAGTGGAACAGGAAAAGGAGGTTTTCTGAGGGCATGAAAGGGCATAATTTGTCTTTAACTGCATGGAGAAAACTGAATACTTTATTTAAAGCCAGCAGTGTGGAGATCACAAATCTATTGAATATTACAAGAATTGGCCTAAATTTTATGGCCATGGAAGTGATTTCTCTGTAAATATCAAAAGAGGTGAAGTGTCTTATACAGAGAGTGACAACTTCAAAAAGAACTATTTTGTAGCTATGCCAGTCAAACAAGGCAAAGAGATGACCTGCATGCCCATAAAGTAGGAGCTGGAGTGCAGTGATTTAGGAACCAAGGGTGCTACCGTAGTTGTTCATACACATGTAGTTCTTCAGTGCTCTCACTACCAGGAATGCAGACCACAGACATAGTATGATATGGTATTACAGCACTTAAGTTCCTGCGGGTTTCTGTTAAGATATTTGTATACAACATATGATTTAGGAACAGAAACACTGCAACAAATAAATAACAATACAGAAAAAGTAAAAGTAGCAATAATGGGTAATGGGTATACACAGAAATACATTAATAAGTTTTTGGAACATACTATGTGATAACCAAAAAGACATATAAATACATGTGCTATAAGCTAAACATTTAGTATTGAGAATAATGGACAACTAGCAAATAGGAATCAGTTTTTAGTTGAGATGAAATTCATTTTGCCAGTAGGATTAAATGCAAGAATAGCAATTGAACATAATCAATCACTCTCAATGATTGTTTAGTGTTGTTTTCCCAATTACTTTTTTTTTATACTTCTGTGTGCATTTCATATTATGAATGTTCATCATATTATTTGCGTTGCATATTCTGTCATTTGTTTCTGCAGGACATAAGAATAGTTCATCAGTTTCATTATAAGAATTGGCCTGATCATGATGTGCCTTCATCTTGTGATCACATTTTGGGCATGATAGAAGACATACGTGCTCTCCAGAGAGATGATAATCCCCCCATATGTGTCCACTGCAGGTACTGACAGCCATATCTACCTTAAAAGTGTCAGATATGATGGAGTTCAATACACAGCATATTGCAATTTGATTTCTTGTTAAAAATATAAAATGTACATAAAGCCATCTGTCATGAGTAAAGTACAGTCTGCCATAGTTGGCCCCCTTTTTACAATGCTAGTAGCCTGGCTGTGTCTGTCTTTAATAATACTGAAGTGGCAAGACTGGAAACAAGCATTGCACAAACAAACAACACTAAAAGGCTGAATACATCATTACATGCCACATAGTGCTATTAGAACACATTCTAAGGGAAGGGTTCCTTCAAGTGCCACTAAACTCAGGAGTTAAATCTTAAAAAATACATTCCAGTAACTTAACTATTGACAAAATGTACCTTAAGTGTGTATCACTCAGTTGTAGATCCTCAAATCATCTCTGAATTGGTGCTGACACTGTCCTTCCTTCTGGAGGGAAGATGAGTGTCAGGAACTTTTGCAAGTACACAAATTAGTGGTTGAGGAAGAACTCCACTTATGTATTTGCACATACTTTCCTTAAAAATTAAAAAAAAAAAAACATTTTCGGTTTCGGCCTGACAATTTTTTTTATATCGGTTTTGTTTTGGTTTTGAAATTTCCATTTCGGTGCACCTCTAGTTATAACAGCAGCTGCAAACAAAGAAATGAACTGTCTGACAGTGTTCATGAACACTGTTCAGACATGATTAAAGGTACCCATACACTGCACGATTCTCGTACGAGAATCGCGGGAAATCCCACGATCGTACGAGAATGAAGGCGTGCGACCGTTTCTACTGTACGGTCGTACGTCTTTTGTCTAAGGAGCATGCTATTAAACCAGCCGAAAATCGTAAGATTTTCGGCTGGTTTGAATGATGCTCGGGAGACAAATTGCGAACGGGCCATTGTGCGCAACCTCACACTGCCAGTTCAGCATTGCGGGCTTGCGATGGGGGGGCGGGCTTGCGGGCTCGCAAGTACGATCTGCCTGTCCAAGATGGGCAGATCGTACGTTTTTTTTATTACTTTACAACCATCGCAAGACTAAGGTCTTGCGATGGTTGTAAAGTGTATGGCCACCTTTAGACATACAAGGTAACATTACTATTGTAGTTGCTCTGTTTTGTTCAAAGAGAAGATCAAAGAGACGAGCTTCCATCTGCATATAATGTCAGTAAGAAAAGTTAACATTTGTTAATATTTAACCATTTATTAACTCTTAGTTTACTATAATCTGCCCTAATTGATGCCTTCTTTCCCTTCTCCCTTTAGCTATTAATTTCCTGCTGATTTGTTTAGTTTATTTCTGTTTTTCTAACCATTAATATTTAAACTTTTTTTATTCATCAAAAACTGTGCTTCAACGGTTCTTACTACATTTCCAATCCAGTCTCTCCTGGGTCTCTCTCCCCTGGCTGGCTATCCTCGCTCTCTCAGTGTTTCTCCTCACTGTCTTCTAGTTATCTCTCCTCGCTCTCCCTCCTTGCCATCTCTCCTGGCTGTCTCTCCCCTGGCTCTCTGTTCTGGCTTGCTCTCCTCGCTTTCTCTCTGTGTTTCTCCTCACTCTCCTGGTTGTCTCTCCTCCCTCTCTCTCCGCGTTTCTCCTCACTCTCTCTCCTGATTGGCTCTCCCCGCTCTCTGTGTTTCTCCACTCTCTCCTGGTTGGCTCTCCTCGCTCTCTCTCCTGGATGTCTCTCCTCACTCTCTCTCTCTTGGTGTTTCTCCTCAATCTCTCTCCTGGCTGTCTAGCAGTTATGGGATTAGCCAGCTTGTTCAATAAACACACAAGGGCTGGTGACATGACACTTGCAGGAAATTAGAAAAGCAGAATATTCTAAGGGCCCGTTCACACCACTTCCTGCGTGTTCTAGCACTGTGAGCTGCTGGAACGCACTGGAGCGCATACTGTAAGGCTCCCTGCATTCTGATGTGGGAGTGGAGGTGCATTCAAGTCAATGGCACCGCAGCTAAGCCCTCCGCCCGCAGTGCGATTGACCACACCAGAATGCGTGGCACAACAATGCCGTGTTCTGGTCCGATGTGATCACAAAAAAAAATAGTACAAGCACTACCACACCACTACGCCCCCTCCCGCCCCAGAACGCAGGGAGCCTTACAGTATGCGATCCCGTGCGTTCCAGCAGCTCAGTGGGCTGAAACGCACTCAAAGTGGTGTGAACAAGTCCTCAGACTGGAAAGGATCCTGTGAAGTAAATGATAAGATGGAAAAGATGTAATCATGATTGCTGATGGGGTGCTGTGTAATAATACAAGATGCTGACAGCCCACAGTGTCCTCTCAGCCTCTCCTCTGCTTCCTGCTGCGGTGTCTGGGAGACACTTCCTGGTTCTATCAGCCCCGAGGATTACAGCACTATGCATGGTCTTCACACGATCTCGGCGCCACCTTCAGGTCATGTACGGAACTGCAGACATTCAGCTGCACTAGAACTGGTGAAGGGAGCTCAGGACATTGAGCCGACTTGCGATCGCGATCTACCAGTGTTAACTTTGCGATCGACTGGTAGATCGAGATCGACCTAATGGGCACCCCTGTTCTAGTCCATAGGTGATGTACAGGTGTGAGAGCTGAACTGGTTAAATACATTTTTTTCCCCACATTTACACACAGTCCAAGTTTTCTAGCGAAAGTGAGATTGACACGATTAAGAACAAACTATACAACTGCCAGAGGTCGCGGCAGCAACATATTTTAAAGAAAATGTATACTATTTAAATAAAGATGACATTTGTAAGCACCATTGCAGCGCTATATTTTGTTGAATTAATATCCTGAATACCATCATTACATTATTGGCCACATATAGTTGTATATTACTATACATAGTTGTATAGTATATTGTATTATGCATATATTGATTTCAGAATACAAGACTTTTTTAACTAGAGAAACTTTAGTACCTACAGCATTACAGCTTTTGAAGTAATGTGTCTTTGCTGCTTTACTAATTTGCATTAAATGCAAATTAGGCAGTATTAACTTTTTTCTAAGAACCGCATGTATTGTGGTGCTCACGGCAATTATGTACTGTGAACATGTTCCCCAGACTAATACTACCATCTGGTGTCATTATGCTATTACTACAAACTACACTAAATTCTTTATACCAATACACATTTTAAATATGACATTTGTATACCATTTTGCTATATTTTAGTGCTGGCTGTGGGCGAACGGGCGTTATCTGTGCAATTGATTATATCTGGAGATTAATGAAAGATGAGGTAAAACTGCTGCCAAAAATTATTTGTGGATATAAATAAAATATTTCTGAATAGACTGAGGTCCTAGCGTTATGGGTGGTTGTGTGTGGCAGCTGTTGCAATATTTTGGCCATGTGTGATGTGTGGCTGCGCAATAAACAGTAACATCTGGAAAGGTTGCAGTGGTTGTTATGGTGTCAAATGATCCATGTGATGGCCACCGTTTTGTGATAGGAAATCTATTTGACCATACCAAATGTTCTCTGCGCAACCAGTTTCTAAAGCATCCATCTGGTTATATCATTAAGCCCTTAAAAATGGTGCTGATCGTCATCCGTAGACTGAACCTCCAATGTGCCTATGAACGTATGTTTGCCTTAAAAGGTGGTAAATTGAAATCCTACCTCACAGCATGGGAGTGCTGGATTAAACACCCTATGTATAAAACCTGATGATCTTGGATATTTTCATGTATATCGTGGACACTATTCTCTATGTACCTGTAATCATACTTGTCTTATCTTTTTGGTTGCTTATTATTTATTGTTTGCTGTCTTGTAATTTTTTTTTGTTGACAAAAAAACCTAATAAAATACTTGAAACAAAAAAAAATGGTGCTGATCAAGCCTATAGAATTTTGTTGATAATCAAGCAGAATTTGTGTGCTAATAAACAGGAAATGAAAGAAAAAAACAATGAATTTTTGAAAACATTTTGTCAAAGCAAAGAATCATTTACCTTACCTGCACTTAAGAAGAGCACAAAACAACTATAAATTGCAGAGACAAAATTAAGGCAGAATTGGGCTTCAGGCAAGATATTACCCTTGCCAACCCCCATCCCATTAGTTGCCATTGATAAATATCGCAATAGGCACAGAGAAGCCACCCATTTGCATTATTTATACTGGCATTTTTCATCCCATCAAATGCCTATAAGTGCATTCACTCTTTGTGAAATGACAGTCAGATGCACAGCTTTGAACAATTGTAACTGCTTGGCTTACAGCAGGACCATTTGTAGCCCACTGGACATCCACTAGGCCATGGGCTCCTGCCTAAATGGCCTTGTGGATGATGGGGCTCTGATTACATATTTCAAAGAACCAAAGGGGTCTATTCACAAAGCTGCCGAGGGCAGCCGAGTGAATGACCGATCAGAAGTGAAGTGAGAGGAGCCATGGTCTGATTTATGGAAAAAATTGTATTCAAATATGCAACACATTTATAGCATATATACACTGACTGTCCCCCCACAAAAAAAATCACACACGCTAATATTTAATTGGACCGCCTTTAGCTTTGATTACAGCATGCATTTTCCATGGCATCATTTCCATAAGCATATACAATGTCACATTATTTCCATTTATTAATTTTTCACCAAGATCTTGTAGTGAAAATTGGAGAGTTGGACCACTGTGTAAAGTCTTCTCTGGCACATCCCAAAGCTTCTCAATGGGGTCTGGACTCTCTTGTGGCCAATCCATGTGTGAAAATGATGTCTCATGCTCCCTGAACCCCTCTTTAACAATTTGAGCCTGATGAACCCTGGCATTGTCATCTTGGAATATGCCCGTGCCATCAAGGAAGAACAAATCAATTGATGAAAAAACCTGGTTATTCAGTATATTCAGGTAGCCAACTGACCTCATTTGTTGGGCACATAACCCTGCCAAACCTAGACCTATCATCCAGTGGAAGGCTCTGACGTATTTGCTTAGCTAAATCCAGGTGACTCTTTTTGGACAGACAGCGTATTTTAAAATACAGGGTACTCTTGCATGTCAACATTTCATTTTAAAATCCCAGAACACATTAGACTATCCCAAACTCATGAGGCAACACCCAATTCATTCACCTTATGAAGGTTCACTTCTAAATAGTGACTTTCCACTTGAATTCAGAGCAGTCCCAGAAAGTCAATAACTGTGGGCACATATAATTTAAGCTTTAGCATATAAATTTGAATTCAATATTTTTTTCCTGCTTATTAATTTTGTACAGTATGTATGTGTTCTTATGATAAATACAAATAATTTTAATCATAAGTATAAATGCACAGTGCTGAAAACTTTCACGTGAAGGCGAACCCTCCTTATATAAATAATCAATAAATCAAATTAATAAAAGTGACATTGTAAAAGTGAAATAGGTATAAAATACAATAACAATTAATTAAAAATCAAGTGAATAATTCATTAATTAATAGGTGAATAACATGAATAATATGGAAATTATATCAAGGTGTAACAATGTCCACCTAATAAATCAATTAGTGAGATAAGTGATAAGTACGTGATTATTATACCTCCTTCTATGAATGAGCAACAGAAAACAAATAGAAAATATCTAAAATGCTGTGAATGTAATAATAAACATCAATTTTAAATAGCCATAAATTATACATCATATAAATAATTAATAAGTGAAAAAAAATGATTAACAAAAGAATCTAAATGAAAAGTAACAATTTTGCTTTCTTCCTGTGTAAATAGATTATTCCGGTTAATTTTAGTGTCTATACCATTATACAAGAAATGAGAACTCAGAGATCATCACTTGTTCAAACTAAGGTATGTTTCTTTTAAAAAAATGTTTTGTCTATTACCTATGTTACATAATGAGGCTTGACTTACGGTACATCACAACAATCTTGCAGCAGCCTCATAGCCCTACTTTTTACTTCTGGAACTTCTTGCTGCAGATGAAGTGTCAGCTTTCTCCAACAGCCAGCCATTTTCAAAAGCAGATTACTAATGCCAGCCCCCTGTGGTCAAGTTTACTCTTAAAAATATATTCTTTATAAATCTTTTCCAGGCATTGGCATGCTGCAGAAGTGCAGTAAAGTATTACCTAAATTGCACATGCACAGAATTTCAAGACTGTACAAGCAATGAGCAAGACTGTATATAAAAAAAAAAAGATTTGTACATGGCACTGGTGTTTGTATGTGGGTTCTGTCCAAAGCAACATTTTTAGGGTTGAATCAATTTTTATTAGAAGTTTCAGGAGATTCATACAATCCGGTATAAAAGCAGCATATAAAAATTAAGGCAATGCAATACACAGGGGAGTACCTTCCCCAGCAACGGGCCCGGCTGAACAGAGTTATAACATCAATATAGTAGTTCACTAAAGCAACATTTTTAGGAACATTATGCATGCAATGGATATACAAATGCATTGATAGGAAAGGCTTAGGTAAACAAACTAGCTACAGTTCTCCTTTAAGCTGGTGACAAATGTTAGAACCAGACTGCTCAAATTCCTTTATATTCACCAACATGCATGTTGTGCGAGGGCCTACCTGATTGGATGTAAATAAATGTAATTGTAGGTAGACCCTTGTGCAACATAGTTGTTGGCAAAGCTAAAGGAGATTGTACAATCAATTGGTAATTTGTTTGGCAATATGTACATATGTAAAAAATCTTTTCGGCAGCAATCCTCACACCAGATAGGGTTATTGAGAACATATTGATTGATTTATTTGGCTACAGAATAGGCAAGCCCAAAGTAATACAAAACTGAAACAATGGGCCAGATAAGAGTGGAAAAAGTAAAGAAAACATGTATTGAGAGAAATATGTAGGCTGTTCCTCCTCTTGCTGCCTGGTTGTCATGCCAATCCAAATCAACTGACCTGGAATAAGTATGCAGATCAGGGGTTCTCACTTCACTCTGACTTTCTAGTTTGCAAGCTCGTCTAAATCTGTTAAATAATAATGAAGCCAGGCACATTCATACAATTAGCATTTTCAAAGGTCAGCAATTGTAACCCACATATTTCTCTTAATCCAAAAACAGAAACTATTCCAGTCATTTGTTGTATGGATTCATAGAGTTGTGTCAGTTGTTAATGTAATTAAAGGAGAACTATGGAGTCAGTGCTTTTCCCCATAGTTCTCCTAAGGGTCAAGGGAGGACATAAACTAGCGTCCTCCCTGGACCCAAAGCTCAGTATACCGCGAGCTACAGCTTGCGGTATACTGAGACCACCGCAGCCGGGACGGATCCCGACATTACTGTCGAGATCTACCCAGCTGCGTGATTGACAGCTGGCTCTGCCTATCTAGAGATCTAGAGCCAGCTGTACCCGCCCCCTCCCCGTCCGTTCTGCCAGTCAGAGCTGGATGATCGGAGCGGGGGGATCCCTGCAGGGAGCCGTGAGTGACAGTCACAGCTCTCTGCAGGGACAGGATCGAGAAGTGAGCGAGCAACGGTATGTGTTCGCTCACTTACCAATCTATTGAAAATCACTCACCTCATAGTTCGCCTTTAAAAATGCTTGTTTTGTCACTGAGTATACAATATAATATCTACGGAATTTAGGATTTAGAACGTGCATCTAATCTAATGCCAATGTTATTCCCTATAGGAGCAGTATGAACTTGTCTTTAATGCAGTAATTCATCTGTTCAAGAAAGAACTTCACAGACTTAATGGAACATCGGATGTAGAGCAGACAAATGTAAGAATATAATGTTTCAGCCTTACCTGTCCTAACAGACGTAATAAAGTGCAATTGCACAAATGTTTCTACTTAGCATGCCCATAAAAAGTTGCCCCTATAGGTTTACCTATCCTTGTGGGCCTGCTTATGGTGTAATAGCTATCCCCTACATTCCACTAGGCAAACATTAATGCGAATATTAGTGGTTACCCGCTGCATAGAAAAAAAAGTATATCAATGACATTGATTATGCTGATAACACAAGGAAACATCATCAGTTCTTGCAGTATACTGATTCTCCATCCAGTAGTGAGAGTGTAGGCACACAAGCCACACTAGCAAAAGTAGAAAACTCTAAGGGCCCATTCACACCACATTAAGATCAACTCCAGACCAGACTTTTTCCAGGCCCAAAATTAATCCTGATGTATCCCTATGCTATTTCTGGCCTCTTTTCACTTCAGCGCAGTCCGTTCCAGTCTAGAGCAGACCAAAAAAATACTGTATGTCTCATTTTGTCTGGTCTGGAATGCACTTGAACTGTGGGCAGGTTCACACCATTTTTCAGACCAGATCTGGTCCTGAAAATGGTGTGAACCTGCCTTTAAACTAGTCACACATGGTTTTACAATCTCTACGCAATATTATGTATATGTATGCTACATAAGGAGTGGCGGAGTCATTAAATTATTTATGGATGTATGATTTGTATTAGCAAGTGCACCACATCTGTAGCATGAAATGGATATTTATTTTGAAATGCAATAATGGGAGTCATACTTGTCCACTTTTCATTTTAAAAATCCAGGACAAATTAGGCTCCCCCCAATCTATAATGCCACATGCCGTTCCCTCAGCTGCACCCTATGAAGGTCCACTTCTGGATAGTAACTTTCCACTGGAATGCAAAGAGGTCCTAAGCAGTCTGGGACTTTGGGCACTTATACTTTGAGAAAAATCTTATTTGTGTATCACTCAGCTGTAGATTCTCAAATCATCTCTGAATTGGTGCTGACACTGTCCTTCCCTCTGGAGAGTGACTACTTTTGTTCCCCATGGTCCCTGTGTGTGTTGTAAAGTAGCTACCACTCTAAGCTTAATCCCGGGATGGACTACAATCTCATGTTTAGTTTAGTCATTTGAATTGACGTTATAGTCCATCACGGGAGCGAGCTTGGAGCGGTGGCTATTTTATAACACACACAGGGACCATGGGGAACAAAAGTAGTCACCCTCCAGAAGGAATGACAGTGTCAGCACCAATTCAAAGATGATTTGAGGATCTACACCCGAGTGATACACAAATAAAGATACATTTTTGTTGATAGGGTACTTGAATGTATTTTTAAGGTTTAAGTCCTGAGTTTAGTGTCACTTTAAAGGACCGCCACACTAAAAGCAAAGTTGTCCTTGACAATAAAAAAAGTGACCTGTGCTCAAGCTATTACAGTTAAATTGCAAGTTGATAAATACTCTGAAAATCTTGTTATAACATTGTAAAGTCAATTTCAGATTATCCTTGCTGCTTGTTCTCAAGCTTGACTTTTCATACTTCATAATATTATTCCTAAGATTAAAAACAGCCTCATTTCATGGAATAATGTGATCTGTAGTGAAATGTGCTTTTCTTTCCTCTTGAGCTTTGTCGAGGCCCTTCATGTGCTAGATTTGAATATGTATGTAGAAAACATCAAACAATTCAACCATCTTCTCTTTTCCTTCTAATGGCTCTTAATGGGCTACCTTGTCCTGTTCTGTCATCAGATGTGCCCTACATTGTACTCCTCATTCTGAACAGAGCTGGCCATGCATCTCCAAGTGCAGTATTTTAATATGTCAGTATGTCTCTTAAGAGATTTTCAATATTCTCTGTCTGTGCTGCAATAGTTTAATGATCATTTTTAGCAGGTCACTTTATTTTACTTGTATCATGCATCATTATGTTAAAACATTATTACAACGTATTTCAGTTTCAGGTAAATAGGGATTTACATAACAAAGATACATTTTTCTCTCACTTGCAGTTATTTGGAAATGTGTCATGCCTCGCAGATGCACATAAAAATTTAGCCAGACTGTCTGGAGGGTAAGTACGTCAAACCTATGGGCACATTGACTGTATTGATATCTGCAATTAAATCTCTAAGTTTGACCATCAGTGGAGACATTTGAACAAGAACTTGTAAAGGGGTTGATAATGAGCACTTATGACTGTTGGAAGCGCTCATTACAGGATCCAAAAGAAAGGTGTTAAATCTTCATCATAAGTCATAAGGTACATTATAGTGGGCCTTGATGGGCTTAAGAACGGACTGATGTGTCACCTGCCTTCATTCTCAGTAACACATCTGTCCATCTATAGGCTCGCTTATGTTTGTAACGATGGCCAAAATAAAATAATGACATATATGATGCGGTCTGACACTAGCATTTATACAGAAGTTTTTGTTTTTCTAAGTCAGTCCTATAAGATGCTTTTGTTACTTATTGATCCTGCTGGTAGACCTGTTATTTTTCACCTTTGATGTAGCTATCACTTAAGCAGTGGCTTGTAAGCAGGGGCGTATCTGCCGCGAGGCAAACAAGGCGTTTGCCTGGAGATAAGCGAACTCCCAGCTGCTGTAGCACCTTGGAGTCTGCTTACATTTTCACTCCTGGCAGCCGACTATGTAGTTGCCCAATCACTTCTACATGTGAATGGAGGTGGCTTCATTTTATTCACAGGGTCTGTGCTTTCTGAAAATATAATCTTGTTACAGGAAGTAGAAAAATAATGGATCTACTGGAAGGATTAACAAGTATTAGCGCCTTGTTGCAAGGAGGAAAAAAAAAAGATGCTGATCCTAGTGGCAGACTGCAAGCTATATGTAATTTTGAATGATGCCTACCCCCCTGGCATAAGGGACTAAAAAATAGCATTAAAATATGCAACCAAAACCAAAAAGGGAAACTACATGTACAGAGGTAAAAAAAAATTAAATCAGCTATAGATAGCAGGCATAAGATAAGAAAGTAAAGATAATATGAGAACATAAAAAAGAGCCCTTAAAATAAGGATGCCTATAGATATTAGAGGGGAGTCAGATGTACAGGCAATGAACAGGCAATTGATAAAAACGCCAGTCAATACCCTGTCCCCATGAATCCCATGGCTGTGACTGACAGCAATACAATGCAGATATGAGCTTTAGCCTACCTCTGCTTAAAAAAAAACAAAAAAACTTTTATTTACCATCTGTGTTGCTGTTTGTGGTATTTTTTCACTTTCAGTCTGGTGAAATCTCTGTCCCCATAACATTAAAAGAGAACTATGGGGTCAGGGCTTTTCCCCATAGTTCTCCTAAGGGTAACGGGAGGACACAAACTAGCGTCCTCCCGTGACCCAAAGTTCAGTATACCGCGAGCTGCAGCTCGCGGTATACTGATACGCCGCAGCCAGGACGGATCCCAACATTTTTGTGGAGATCCACCCAGCGGCGTGATTGACAGCTGGCTCTGCCTATCTAGAGACAGAGCCAGCTGTACCCGCCCCCTCCCCGTCCGTTCTGCCAGTCAGCGCTGGAGGATCGGACAGGGGAGGTGGGGAATCCCTGCAGGGAGCCGTGAGTGACAGTCACAGCTCTCTGCAGGGATAGATCGAGAAGTGAGCGAGCGACGATATGTGTTCGCTCACTTCCCGATCTATTGAGTCGACCTGTGACAGTTTCATTGTCACAGGTCGGCTAGAACTATGAGGATGAGTGATTTTCACTCGCCTCATAGTTCTCCTGTAAGTGAGTAGAAAGCTCAATAACACAGCCACAGAAACCAAATAAGGGTTCTACATCTTCCCACACTATCCAAAAGGAAAATGCATTGGCTGGACACACAGTTTAAGGCTAAACTTCAGGTAAAGAGGGATCAGCTCTAGAAGCCAATCAGACTTTGCTACACTGCACGTGTGCTGACAGGAAACCTGCTGACAAGTGCAGAATGAGGAAAAAAAAGATATGGGGTGGAAATACACTTTAACCAAGTATACCTGACAATTTATTTAAAAAGTTATGGGATCCATATCTGATGCCTTAAAAATATTAATTTTGAATGTGAAACTTTAAACATTGTTCACATCTATAATACTAACATTCTTTTGTTCAAGTTATACAGGTGAATGCACGATGGAAGAGGAAGTAAGCACACATCTGTGGAACTCATCTGCAACTGCCATCAGTAGTGAAATAAAATCTAATAGCTGTATGAAACCTTTGTCAGTAAAAAAGATGTATAAAAGTTATGATGAACTAAATAAAATTACAATGCAGACTCTGGAAACACCAACCATGCCGCAACCTCTTCCAAGGACAATATTACCCAATAATTGTCATAATCTCACCAATATCAAAAACCCTTGTCCTCGACCACCTACTGAAAACAGAAGAAGTTACAGTGGACATGCACCATTAACACACACCAAATCCACACCTTTGGAATTTCATAGACAGGTTTTAATGTCTGAGCAGCCAGTTGAAGCATCAGATGTGTTTCCTCATATTCAAAATGATGTTGCATGTAGTTTTGATAAACAAAGATTTCTTGTTAATCAAAATCAAGACTCTCTATTTATTGGTTCTTCGGGTAATATAAGTACTGTTCACAGTAATCATCCTTATGTTCGCCTAACAGAAGATCCTTATTTTTCTCCAACATCATCTTCTGATCCAGGGTCACCAAAGTTTGCAGATTTTTGTATTGAAGCCACCTACCCTGGTATTCCTAATCCAGATGGGCACAATATGAAAGACCTTAATTTTCCATTATCTATTTCAAATAATTTATCTCAGATTGATCATTCCTCCAATCTTCAACCACTCCAAAGAGTAGAAGTTCCTCCTCTCAACGATCTGAACATCACTGGTAAGTGGCCCTATGGGTAAATATTAACATTTCTATATTCTCCTATGAGCAATGCATATACAATGTAGAATATTTACAGTAACATTTAGCTACTTTGTTTTTGCTAGAACCCTATTGTATATCATCCTAGATTCATCTGTGAGTTTCCCTTCCAACTAGACAGTTATGCACAGTGCACTTGGTCTTTTAGGTCACATCTGGTTTCATTTTCACAGGTTTCCTCTGATGCACTTCCCAGGCCTTGTAACTCTGTACCTACATCTGCTGGGTCCTCCCACATTGCAGATCCTTCTACAGAGCGCACACGCTTATATGCACATTCCCCTCAGTAGAGCAATTGCCACCCTGCCCCCCGGCCCAGTCCGCCCCTGGTGTGTTAGCATATGTGTGGACAGCGGGATATTACTCTTGGCCTTTCCCCCAATATGTAACTGGCTAATGACATATAGGGATTCATTTACGAAAGGCAAATAGACTTCACTTTAAGGCCCCGTTCACATTGAGCGATTTATCGCGCGATTTTTGTAGCGATATCGCTCATATTTCCGCACTATATCGCTCTATGTAGCTTCACCAATACATTTCAATGTAGCTGTTCACATCTCGTCGCTCAATGTCGCTCAATATCGCTTGTAGCTCGTCGCTGGTAGCTTGTCGCTTCTACATGACCCTTTTTTAGAGCGATTTTGAGCGATATTGCTCCTGATTGCATACAGCCCAATAGGAAGAAGTCTCGCGATGTCGCGCGACACGTCGCTCAATGTCGCTCGTCGCTCAATGTCGCTCAAAGTCGCGCGATTTCCATGTCGCTCAGTGTGAATAAATCGCTCAATGTGAACGGGGCCTTAAAGGCAATTTTCAGTTAGCTTGGTGAATGAGGTAAAGCTCTGCTAACTTCTACCCTCTGATATGCTAGGGAAAATACTGTTTTGTTCATTTTTATTTGGTTGGATATTCTTTGCAAAGTGGATTTTCATTACATTCACTAAGTTAAGAAAAAATTGCAAAGAGAAAATCCCTTGCAAAGTGAACATTTACTTTTAGTAAACCCTTTAGTCTCCTATGGTCTTTCTAACTGTCAACTGCCAAAATGTAAGCAGTTATATATTCCATAAAAAGTATGAAATATTTTTAATTTATATTGACTACAATATTGACTGCAATGTCTTGGTCACTAGAGGGTGGATCATCACAGATTAGATAGACAGACAGACAGATAGATAGATAGATAGATAGATAGATAGATAGATAGATAGATAGATAGATAGATAGATAGATCAGATATAACAGTGGCTACACTATTAAACAGCCTAATGAAATAATAAAGAGCCTGGCAATTTAAAGTGAACTTGTGCCCAGACTATGTGCATTGAGGTATTTACATATTATGAACAAGCTGTTAAAGAACTTTAAAACGAGCCGTCATTCACCTCTGTAGTTACAGATATTGTGGAAAAATGTATCTTCAAAATTCACAACAAAGGCACTAAAATCACAGCTTAATTTGTCTTTACTTTCTATGAAATCAATATCTTTGCAGCCTGTCAGCATTCTAATGTAAATAAATAGCAGTTGCTTGAAAGGGCTCTTTAACATAGGCAAAGACGTATGGTGTTGCATACAGCCTCCCTGACGCAGAGATCCAGCGTTTTTTTGTTACGATGTACAGACCTCTGCATCTGTATGAATAAGCTAACTTAAGCATTGACTTTAGAGTCTCTGTTGTGTTCTTTGTAGATCTTTGCAGTGCCCAGCCAGGAGGACATCTCCACTGTATTAGTGTCAGGGCTGGAGTAACGGGCCAGGTGTGGAACCCCTTGGCAGGGACAAACAAAGTCCAAAAATCGCAGTGCAAAAGGATAGTCCAATCGGGGAGTCAGGTCCAGTTCCGGGTCGTGGCAGGCAGCAGAAATCGTAGTCGAAGGGTCAAGCGAAAGGGTCGGTAGCCGGGAAGTCAAATCAAACAATGGGTTCACAGGAGGGAGCTGGGTGTTCACCATGAGGTAGAATAACTCAGCAATGAGTCAAGGCTCTGACCCGCTTTAAATAATCAGGGAACCCAGTACCGCCCCCTGGCTGTCAAGGCAACCAGGAAGCTTCCCCTGTCCAGTCACAAGGCTGAAGGCAAGTGGTGAAGGCTGAAGTCCTCCCCCAGCCTGAGTAGCACCTGTGGCATGGAATGGCGCGCGCGCGCACTATGCTCGCTCGTCCTCGCATGCGGCTTGCGCACGCGCACTGGCCACACCAGCATCAGATGCCCTGCCAGGGGGAGGAGGAGGAGCTACCCGTGCCCGATGCCCGCGCCTGCGAACCTGACAAGGAACGGCCCCCCTGGGTCCCTGACAATTAGTGTCCCTGCATAGTGCACTCCTGCTTAAGATCTTGGCAGTTTCAGCATACGTATCTGTGATTGTAGCTGGAAGGATAAGTTGTGGCTTAAACTGGATGGTGTTTTATTCACTTTTTTGATTGCCTGTGCTGAAGCACTCCACCTCCACTTTATGTGTCTTTGACTGAGCTTGCAATATCCTACGTTACAGCGACAAATGTATGTACAGTATATTTCATTGTGAGATGAACTGTCTAATACATCTCTTGTAAGCGGTCTCTCCTCAGTAAACCTTTTGGATTATTAGGCTAAGTACAGAATGTATACATACTTTCCAGACTTGACTACAATACTTTCAAGTGTGCTCTTTTGGTGCTGGTTGTGGATACTGTTGTGTGTGGGAGTGAATAGTATCAGCTGGATGAAAATGTTATGTGTTCACATTGTTAAGTTTCTTTTTGAGAGGGATCTATAGTAACTGGCTATTTGTATCTATATTTCTGTAAATAAAGGAATTATCAGTTCATCCAGTAGCCCCTTTCATTTTTCTTTTTATTTCAATATTGAGCCACAATGCCTAACAGACAGAAATTTGCTCAGATAAACAGCTGCTTAGGTGGCTTTCCAAAGCATCGTTCTCACTAACACTTATTTGCACAACACGGAAAGTGATACAAATAGGTGATTCCTGCATTATACTGCCTAGCTCACTGAGATATACCTTAACGTGATTAACTGACACAATCGTTAAAGTAACCCCTATTGAATGTCTTGTTGTATTCAGTTACTTCCCTACAAGCAAATGCTAAGAGTCCTCCTCCTTTGCCAGAACGCACGCCTGAATCCTTCATTGTACCAGGTGAGCTTAGTAAGTGATGAATAGATGACTGTATTCTATACACGTTATTGTAAAATGTTTTCAATATAGGCCTCATATGTTAATTGAAAGGAAATAAAGGTGTCTGTTTTGGCCTGGTGAACCAATAACATTTAAGCTGTGATACAGAATACAACCACCTGCTTTTTTAACTATTTTTATGACTGTGCCCATTTATCTATTACAAAACAAACTGGCTAGATGAGTGGTAGGTACATTATGTTATTGTTTTATGTTCCAAATCTCAACTGAAATTAAAAATCTCTGAATATATATTGCATCTCATGTAACAATACTTATTTACTGGAATTATTCAATCAACTATCCATATCCTAATATAGAAGGTCTCTCTATTAAGCACCAATATTTGGATACATGTTTTCTTGCCTGAAATCAGATTTTGATTTGCTGCACTAATATAGCATTCATAATGATTGTGTTTCTGGATTATTGTTATTTTAAAGGATAGCTTTTACTTTTAATGTAAAAAGACAATACTATCAATGTGTAATAACAATTTTATTGGATTTTGATTATATGAAATTGTTTTTACTAGATGAATCCCCACAAGAGCTTCCACAACTGCAGCCTAAAATGCAAGTCAAAGTTCCGAGTGTAAAAATTGGCAAATCACAGGAATGGGCTGGTGTATACCAGTATAATGTTGGTGATTTCAGACTCAAAGCACGCAGTAAGGTATGAGTATGTAGTACACTAGAAATATATTGTTTATATGTTAGAGTTAATGACAATGCTATATAGGGATCTACTGTCTCCATCAGTTTGTAGATTTTTGTAGATTTTCTTAAAGCAAATATTTTTTATGCAGCCCTTATATGCCATGATCCCCTTTAGGGCTCATTAACATGTTTTTGGTTGAGTGCTAATCTATGCAGTGTCATTTGACAACATACTCCTGAGGTCCAGCATGCAGCAATTTGGAAGGACTTTATATGCAGTGAGGTGGTAGGAATTCAACTAGGGTGCCTTATCACTACATTCTAATCACACTTTGATAACCATGAGCACTTTTGACCCACACCAGTCAAATGCTCACACTCAGTTCTGGAAAACCTAAATAAAAATACAGTATATGAACATTAAACGTATCTTGACTAAAGAGAAACAGTGTTCAAGCCAAACTTTCTGTGTATGGATTGAAAAATTTGCATTCTCTGCATAAAGGCAAAAAACACCTAGCACTTTTCAAACACCCTCATCCCCCCTACCAGTGCCGGCCTTAGGCCTTTAGGCGCCCTGTGCGAGAAAGCTTTACAGAGCCCCTCAGTGGCCACAACCTTTAGTGGCCACACCCCGTAACCACACCCATTTTCCCCAATATCCACACCATTTAAAGACTCCTATTTTGTTAAGCCGCAAAGAAACATATTAAAAAGTATGATCAAAATAAAACTTTTATTCAAAGGTATTAAACTTGTAGGCACAATATAAGTATTCTTATCAAATAAAACATTTAGTGCATCTAGAAAAGTAAAAATAAAAAACAGAACACAGACCCCGGGCTACATGTAAATTAATGAATTACTATATGTCCGAATATACGAGAAATGTATTAAGACTAGGGCTGGTAATGATTAAAATTTTTGTGTTCGATTAATCGAAATTTTTTTTAATCGATTAATTGAATAATTTCGATTAATTATAATGCACATACAGATCCAACTACATTGGCCTATACACATAAAGCACAGCAATGAAGTAATAAAATTAACTAGGATCACACTAATCCAGCACGTTATTAATCTCACATTAAATACGACGAGGGGCGGACGAGGGAGCGCTGTCATATCGGATGGCCAGCGGTGAGGGGGAGAGACGCTGCCCACAGGACGAGCTGTGACGGCCGCACGACGCCCTTGTTGCCATTGCGCCCTGTGCGGCCGCACGGCTCGCACACCCCTAAGGCCGGCCCTGCCCCCTACACTTACCTGCAGCCACTCGTTTCTTCTGCCGCGACTGGGAAGCTACACGGAATTCCCCAAACTTCCTGCTTGTGGGGGAGGGTACTGAGGGCAGAGGAGCTATAGGCTCCTTCCCCTGTCAGTCAAGTTATGGCTGCATGGGTGGGGGTATGGCCGGCCTAATGCTGTGTGTGTCTATGGACGCACACAGCTAGGTGTAAGAATGGCCGTGAGCGTGCACGTACGTGGTGCCTCCACAGCAGTCAGCTAGCTAATGGAGGCACCCGTACAGGTAGGGGCGGGCTTGCAGTCTGGATACCGCTTGAGAATGAGGGGGAAAAAAAAGGATAAAATAACTTTTCTTTTTTTAGCAAGTCAGCAAGTCATTGGCCATTCTAAAAAAGAAAATAAAAAAAAATGAAGGTTTAATATCGCTTTAACTTAAATATTTTATAAGCAGTAACAGCGATTATGGAACGTTCTTCTTGAGAAATAACTTCATTATCTCTGCTAAACTGCATTTGTAATTAACACCTACTATACTACTTTTTATGCTGTTGCAGTGCCTGATAATATTTGGTTGTCTTTGCTATTGTTTTTCAGAGCGTTAAAGTAAGAGGGTCAAGGATGGGTATGTAATCATCTATGATAAGCAGTACTGACTATACATTAACTGTGTGGTTTAACTAGGTTATGCCATCTTAAAAAACATAATTTTTGAGTCATTTAAATGTGATATGGGATTTGCAAAAAAACTGTAGTTTCTATTATTTCATTTATATTTATATTTATTTCATTTTGCTTTTTTGTATATGATTGCACCTTGATTTATTGCATATACAGAATTTGCATACTGTAAAACAATTTTTTTCAAAGCATATCATTATAATTTAGTTCCTGTCTTCACGGTACTGGTTTGTCAGAACTTTAGGTATAGAACAATCGGCATCTAACGTCCAAGAGTACCTTTACTCAAACAGAGACATATTTAAATACACCCAAACTTAAAATAAAGAACATTGTGTATGATTGTAATCATTTATCAGTTTATTTAATTAAGAGTTCCACAGAGAAGTGATTATTTGCAGAATATACTAACCTATAACTAATAGCCAGATTTCACATTTAATGGGATTATAGCAGTCAGAGCAATCAAACATAGGGGTTGATTTACTAAAGGCCAGTAGACTGTTCACTTTGCAAGGTCATTTGCACTGGGTAGTTTCACCTTAGTTTAGTGAATGTGGGGAAGCTCTGCCGATTTCCATCACCCAATCATGTGCAAGCAAAAATACTGTTTTTTTTAAATTTTCCTTGCACATGATTGGGTGAAATTTCACCACATTCACCAAGCTAAAGGAAAACGTCCCCTGCAAAGTGCAAATTCCCTTACAATGTGAATAGCCAATTTGCCTTTAGTAAATCAACCCCGTAGTGTTAAGGCACTATACACAATGATCTTTGCCTTAAAATGTATTTCTAACTTTGCAGCCAAATTGGGATAATACTATGTGTTACATGTTCCCATGCACATAGCAGAACTAAAAAAAAAAAATTATTTAAAAATGGCTGCTTACCTTTTCACTAGATTTTTACTTGCTGAAAAATCTTAGTTAGCTTTCCTCTGCTATTTAGTGTTAAGAAGGGGACCTAGGAGTCAATGTTTACCATTAGTAACCCGTATTGTACTGTGCTAGCAAATTTCATGATGAGTTGTAAACTAGATGTGCAGGACAGTCTGTTTTAACAAAGGTTTAACAATCTCAAGACTTGGGAGGTACATTAACCACCTCCCGTCCGCCGATCGTTGAAAGACGGCCGGGCGGGAGTCTCCTGGATGCGTCCTTCGTGCCCGAGCGCGCCCCCTGGTGCGCACGAGCGGGAACCCGCCAGGATTTTAAACGGCCAGCGATTGCCGTTTACATACAAGCGGTCTGGTGTCTGTAAAGGCGCCCGATCGCTTGTATGATACAAGTGAAGGTGCGCCCCCTACTTACCTCTGGTACCGTCGTTGTCCCCGCTGCCGCCGTCCCCGCGATTCCGGGCGTCCATCAGGTCCGGGTGATGTTACGACCAAATCTCCCTCCGCTCTCCTCCCGGTCCCTGAATGCAGGAAGTGATGTATATTACTGTGAGGATTCTCCTCGGGGCCGGACCGCCTCGGACCTGATGGCTGCCATGTCGGGTACTCTGCGTTCCACTGTGGAACACGGAAGCCGCTCGACTTCCTGGTTGTGACGCGAGCGGCGTGCGTTCCACGGTGGAACGCGGAAGCCACTCGTTCCGGCCGATGTCTCCTCCCACATCCTGGGGCTATTTAAAGCCCCAGCTGTAGCAGCATGGCGTTCAACAATTGCCTCTGAACGCCTGCTGAATACTGAACACTGCAAACACTGGACTGTGTCTCCTCACTTTACAAGGATCATCCTCCATTGGGACCCACACCCTGCACCTCGCTGCTCTGCCACCCCGCTAACAGCAAGTATCGCTCCACTGGGAGCCTGTTAGTAACTGTCAGTTACTTAGAACCATTACTAGTGTGTTACTACTATCACTGATACCATTGTGGGGAGATTCTTATATTGTTCAGGAGATCTGACTAAACCATACTGCTTCACCAAAGAAGATAAATATACCGTTTAACCTATACTATACATTGCTGGTGCTAGAGGAGATAGCCCATCTTTTACTTTACGTTAATACATTGGCTATGATGCAAGAGTCTCAAACTCCCCCTTAAGACTGGGAGTGACGCCTGAGACTCACGCCTGATCAGCCTATAGTTCCATACACGCCATTTCTCACTCTCCGCAGTTGCGCTCCAGTGCGACCGATTACAGTAGACGTAACAATTACATCACTTCCGCATTCCTCTGTCACTCTCCGATACAGAAACCGGAGAGAAGCTGATGAAGCAGATCTGTGCTTCATCAGCTTCTCTGGGGGTCCCTAGGTGACATTAGGGGTCTTAGAGACCCCTGATGTCTCCATAAAGGGGACATGTCACTGTAATTTGTTATCACATAGGGTACTTCTTAGCACCCTATGTGATAAACGTCAGCCGAAGTAGCGCAGCGCTGAATACTGAAAAATGGCCTGGTCAGGAAGGGGGTGTAAACACCGCGGTCAGCAAGTGGTTAAATGTTAAAGCCCCCTCACTTTGCCTCTTCTGTCTACATTGTCACCTATCCTAAGTTATAGAAGCTGGTATAGTGTCCAATGTATCATGCTCAAAAAGAACAACTAGAAAGCTAAGGAATATTTGAACAAATGATTTTAGGAATGCTGTGTTCTGAAATCTAACTGCAAAGTTGGAAATACACTTTATAGACACAAGTAAAAAGTGTCTATAAAAATGGCTACAAGACTGTATCACAGGGGTCTAAATGTATATTTAAAAACCTTTTAGAGCAACATTGGAGCTCCAAAACTCTGGGGATTTCATTTTACAAACTTCAGCTTAGGAAGTCTATCCCAGGCCTAAGCTCTTCCACCTTCCACTAACCTTTGTTGGTCAACAAGGAAACAAATCATTGTTATAAACCAGTAATGAGTTGTGGTAGTTAGAAGAAGAGAGAGCCAAGTGTGACATCAGTAGCTTAAGGCAGTAGTTACATCATATGTTCCATGGCTCCTTAGTTACACTGGAAAGTTACTATATTCAAATGAATATAGTAAGTTCAAATGAATCTAGTATGTTCATATGAATATAGGTGCCTGCTATACAAGTCTGCTCACAGTTTAAAGTACTTTAAGCACCTGTCTTAAACACCTTTATGCACCAGATCCATTCACCTGCTACTAAAACTAAAACATTTTCATGTCTTAGAAAAAACACGAGATAGATCAGCTTCTCCACCACCTATACCAGAAAGAACAGAGGATTCCTACATTGTTGCAGATGGAGCTACCAGTAAGTATTATATAATGGGTAATATCATAAGAAAAGACAAACCAAGTAAGAAATTATGCTGTAAAGAGGCAACAAAAAAACAGTTTGGGCTCAGAAAGATTTGGTCAGCTGGTTGTTTTGGAGGGGGATGGGGGGTAGAACTCCTATAAAACTTTGTAACATGGTTTTGATTGTATAATGGGCTACAGTGTCACTGGGTCCTGCTTTATTCTCCTTGGATATTCCATATGGCAGTAACAATAGTTTGTAAAAAAAATAATGTTGAGATGCAAAAATTAATTTGTATGAGAGCACTAGTAGAGTGGATAGCACTAGTAGAGTGGATTATTTTATGGTGGCCACTATCACCAAGACTGAAAGTAATGTCTAAAATTCCTTGTCACCAGTACAGGAATAAAGGGGGAATCTTCAAACAAGGATACTTGTTCTAGTGATAGCAACCTAAAGGGCTTTTCTTTAACTTTGGAAGGATTGTCTCTCACTTCCTGTTGTGTTTCTAGGATGGGCAGTGAAAGGAAATCTACCCACAGGGACACAGATGGCAAAAAAAACTTGACGGGGGCTTTTATCTATTCTGTACTCTACCTTCAAAAAATCTTTGGATTTTGATATGATTTATTGTAAAGGAAAGGAGGTTTACTGATTATACTGTTTCTACATGCTGACCTTATGATGTTTTAAAAAGGAAATTCAGGAATTAATCAAAATTAACCTACCCCCACACTGCAAGGGTTAATTGCTTGTTTTGGTCTAGGGACAGGATTAAAGAAGATACACTTATCTTCGATCCTGCCTGGCTGCTATAGCAGTGCCCGCAGCCTCTTCTCCCCCAGGGCTTGGCTATTTAAGCATCGCTAGCGTCATCACCTCTAATGCAAGTCCATTAACTTGCATTAGACATGAGGACACCAAGGGACATACCACAGATGGAGTGGAGGGGGAGAGAGGTGAGCGCAGCGTTGTCTGTCGCAGGACCAAGGATCAGGTGAGTGTATCTTCTTTATTCCAGCCGCTACACCAAAATGAGCAGTTTACTCTAGCAGTGTGGGGGTAGCCCCAACTGCAAGAATTCAGCTTTTTAATAGGCGGAGTTCCTCTTTAAGAGGCCTAGAGTGGGCAGCTGTCTGGGCAAATGCCCTTCCTGTTCTCACACCTTTGATTCTTCAAACTGTAGCAATGTGCACCACTTCCTATTAACTTTTTAGTCATTTTGATAAGGAACTGTAAGCTTACAATAAAAACTCTATTCAAAATAGGCCCAATTGGTTCCCAATTGCTGAAGCTATACCTGTAGGTGAACCTTGAATGCAGCAATCTTTAGCTGTACAGTCTTGTTTTTTTATTTGTTTTACAATTTTACAGCAAGAGAAGTACTGTAAGCGACACACATTTGAAATGTGGTTTGTCCTCTGTCACAATAATGAACAAAAATCTTAAAAATTCATGAACTTGACGATATGAAAAAACCTTTTTGACATAAATGATTACACCTTTTGTAATATGTCATCTTTTGTTATGCTTGCATGAGAAAGTTGGAAAAGGGCAGAAAGCATCTAGAAAGAAATACTGAACTTTAGTATTAAAGTCATATAGACCCAGATGACAAAGCTTTTGTGTTATACAGATACGGAATACAATGTTTCTGATCATCCACGCCCTGCACTTCCTACAGATGTCACCAGTTCTGTCTCATCTCCAGAGCCAACAAAACAAATTACCAGGAAAAAGGTAAAAGTATTTAAGTTGCCAGTTTAAGAATTTACAGTCTTTCAGCCATTCATAGGCTACAGATTGTGGTTGCATATGACCCAGTCACTGGTGTTTTTCTCTTCTTTTATTTTTAAAGAAATGTCTATTTAGATGCACCAGCAAGTGATACCAAAGTTATATCATACCCCCGCATAACTGCATCTTTAAAGCTGAAGTTTAATCTGCTTATATTTTGCTTGGATCCTCCCTCCCCCTCATCAAGATGCTGATGAACCTTTCTGTTTTCAATACATACCTTATTCATCATCGCTGGGTCTCTGTGCTTCCCCCTGCAATGCAGCTTCCTGAAAACATCACAGCACCCTGCCCCAGTACTCCTCTCAAGAGCCCTTAGCTCTGATGCAATCAGTGGGCTGGCTTTTGGGAGGAGTTATGCAAATCTCCTTCTTAGGCAGGCTGCATTTATATACAGATTACAGATCATTAAAATAAATCAAATGCAATGAATGAAAGGGGCAGGCCACAGATAGTAAGGCTGGTGCAGAAAGATGATGCTGGACATCCTTCAGCCAAGATATAAGGCGGACTTTATCTGACTTGCTGCAGCTTCTAATGCACATTGTGAGAAGCCCACAGTGTGCAGTTAACTCAGAGTAAGCAATTTCATTACGCAACAGGAGCCTATACAACTGTTACAACTTTGCAAGACTGAATAATAAAATATATTTATACTAACTTCTTTTCTAAAAACAATTTTCCATTTCTATTCAGAGTTTAAAGATACTCAAGAACGTAAAGAAAAGTAAGTCTTTCCTCTGGCATCTGGAATAAACTAATATACCTATATGCATGTGTTAATTAAATATGACATATAATAGTCCCATTGGGACTGATTTTTTAAATCATTTGATTAATTATATTGTTAAAAAAAATAGAACATGGTAAAATGTTTCATTTTAAAGATTGCTAATCCTCAATCCTACCCCCTCATATACATACAAACACTTCAATACTCCACACTTAATTTGGAACTGAAATTAGTGTATTTTAGAAAAATTCTACAAATGCCCCAATCCCCTTTTCTCAGCACTTCATGTAATTAGCCGACTGTGTGCAGTACTGTGCAAACACATGCCTGCATAGACTTTTATAATCCTGACCATTCTGATAAACCATGACCACAACTTTCTTACTACCCTATAATTCAGGCTTAGAAGTTGAAACTTCTAATAAAACCATATCCATTGTGTGGCGCAACAAGCCTTAACCCTTGGATTTTGGCCACCTATAGGAGGATTGAACACTGACACTGTTCTACTGTTATTAAGACTAACCTGGTTTTTATTCTCCATCTTCCGTTTCTTCTCTACATCGCTGCTGGTGGTTTTCCCTCTGGTCGGCAGCTATCTGGTCATGGCCATTGTCACCTTGGCTTTTGGACAGTACCACATTAAGGCTGCTCTGAACCGGATGTTGTGGAGTTAGCCTGAAAATATCTTTTGGGCACTGGGTTCCAAATTGGGTGCTTTCCAGACTTAGTTCTGGACAGTGCATCTCTAAGTCTGTGATTTCTATGATGCTCAAGGTGTCACAGTTTAGCTGCAGACTTGCAGCTGAGCTGTTACTTGTAGTTCTACAAGTATATACATATCTCTTACCCCTGGTTCTGCAGGGCTGTGCTGGTGCTTGTAGTCCTCCAGACATGTGCTCTGAACCTGACTCACTCTTGCACCTGTTTGCAAGCTTTAGGCATCAGCCGACCTCTCCTGCCGTTTCTTATGCAGTTTCTCGGCCAATCAGTGCAGTCTGCTTGTGGCCAATCCTGTGGATCCTCCCTCTTCCTTTCTCCATTTAAACTTTCCTTTCCTAACTTTAAGCTTTCCTAAGCTAGTTGCCGAGTCCCTCATTTGTGACTTACCCTGAATTCCTGGAAGTTTTCCTGTGTACCGAACCTTTGGCTTGTCCTTGGAAATCCCTGTCTACTGGCTGCCCTGTGCTTCCCTTTTGTCCTTGGAAATCCCTGTCTACAGTCTACACTGTACTTTGCTTGGTCCCTGGAAGTCTTCAGCCTGTCCCTAACCTTTGATTTATACCCAGTACCTGTTAGGTGAGTTGGGTGGACCTAGGGATTGTGACCTGGGGTCAGTCAAGCCCATCTCCACCATCAGGAGCTCTGGCGAATACCAGGTGGCTCTTAGATTCCACATCCTGGGGAACCCCTGCCACCTACTCAGCATACCATGCCACCTACTCAGCATACCATGCCACCTACTCAGCATTGCAGGGTGCCTTGTATTTGAACTTCCAGCTTATGCTGACTTCCACTGCCTCATTCACATACCTGCTCTGTTCCCTGCTTGTACTCCAGCTCTGGGAGTTGTCAGCCTACACTGCTTGGACCCTTTTCTCTAAGTGTCCCTGCCAGTGTAGTGGAAAGGGTCCACATACCTGACTCCAGTTTATACATGTGAGTCCCAATCCATGACACAAGGCCAGGAAGTCCACTTTCTGCAATGTCTGTCAGACTGACTCCACTCTGTGTGAGGTCAGGGGTTTCAGCCCAGGAGCTTATCTGACTTTCATATTAACCTGGACATTATTTTCCTGTCCCTTTTTCTGGCTCCAGGTCATCAAAAGGACATTTCCCTTCATTGTCTGGGTGTGATTCAGGGCGTACAAGTCTATCTCTCAACCACAGCTTCTTTAAAAAGACCAAATACTTTTTGTCACTCTGGATGGACCCTGAAAGGGCACCCCAGGTTCTTGTTTCACCATGTCTAGGTGTCGTTCAAGATTATGTTCTTAAGGAACAGGTTCCTCCCTTTCCTGTTACAACTTACTCTGCTTGATCTGTGAGTACTTCTCAAGCTTTTTGGAATCAGGCAACTGTTTCTCAGATTTGTGAGGCTGCCACATCATCTTCTGTTCACATATTGTCTAAGTTCTACCAGGTGGACAATTCTGCCTCAACTAATGCCAGCTTCTAGTGTAAGGTCCTTCAGGCTCTTTGAGCTGCAGGCAGTCCCCAGTTTCTGTTGTTTCTGTTTGGCCAGTTTGCATGTGCTTGGTGTTGCCCACCCCTCAGTTGGACTACTTTTGGAATACCCAAAGGTTTAAGACTTACTATGTCCCTCAATGAATGAGAAAGAAAAATCGTATTTGTGCACTCACCATAAAATCCTTTTCTTGTAGTCTATTCAGGTCCCACCCCTTTGTGTTTATGATCATGCTCAATACTGCTTTGCTACAATTGTTTGTTTGCAAGTGTCCAATTCTCCTGTAGGCAGCAGTGTAACCCAAAGGTTTAAGACAGATTCCTCCATCAATGCTACAAGCACGTTGATCAAGGAATCCCCAGTGTCAGTGGCTGTCGGCTCTGTTCATAAGAAGATTTTTCCACTGGCTCCTTCAATCAGCGAATCGAGGGTTGCCAGTCGAAAGGATGCCAACAGCGGCACCCACTTGAAGAATTTCACACAGTGTATGGCCACCTTAAGGTGCAACTTTTTGGGGTGCTACTTAGGTGGGTAAATGTCATTGAGACATAAAACCATGAAAGATATGGTGCCGAAACAATTACGGTATGAATTTATTAATTTTTTAATCCATTTTGGAAACCTCCCGGGTTGCATTCATAACATAACATAAATAGTTGCCACATCAATATTGATTCACTTCTATGTCTAATTTTACCTTTATGGAAACACTGACATGTATAACAGTTTTCATTATGTGCATATTTTTGAATCATATGTATAATATTACCTCTCATTGTAAAATATTTCATGATGGAGATTTAACAAATAAAAAGGTATTAAGAATTAAGCTTTAATTTTTTTTAGATGTTTGCAGTTTGGCAAAATCAGACTCTGATTCTTCTCAATCTGGTGGCCCCCTTTCATTCCTAAACTTTGGTAAGGATTTTATGAATGATCTTGTTTGTTGACCTTGTATAGCAAGAACAGTAACCAGTATAATTTAATTTACAGTAGCCAGCACAATCCATCTTATTGATCAGTTAATATGGGTTATTTCCATGTAAACATTGCTCAGCTTTGCTTTCTTAGCCTCCTGCAATTTTTCAAGGAAAGGAAACCTAGCACTATTTGAATACGAGGTCAGCAGTCCTGGCCTCCATGTTCTCTCAGTACATGTGTCCTTTACACATAGACTTTTATTTCCATTTCCTGAGGATACAGCACAGAGCTACAATTGAGTTGCATGGGAAACTCACAAATGTGAAAAAAAATTAAAAAGTGTAAAAAAATAAGAAAAAACAAAAAGCAAAAATGTGGCCACCCAACTACTGAAGTAAATGGATAAAAACATTAAAAACAAGCACTCTCCCTCAGGCACTGTAAATAATTGCATGCATTTGACTACGTGATTCAAGGGGGTGGTGGCCCATGTCTAATATAATCTGGTAATTTATAGGAAATTTAGAAGATTCAACATAGAAACTCATTCCTTCATAAGTACACTGACAATTTTGCCATCAAGCATGTCCATAGGTGCACATAGTTTTAGGATCACATCCAGCATAGGCCATATATTAATTGTAATGCACACCTGCTCAAAAGTAAATCACTCTGTAGTCCATTACTGGTCTAGCCAGCAATAATGTATAAACTTCATCCATATATAATCTAGAAATGGTAAAATGCTGTACAATACTAAATGTCCATGAACAGCGTTCTCAAAGCTGAACCATCCCTAAGTGACCTAAACTAGTACTGAGAAAATAATTGTCCAGCGACAATCAGAGGTGTATGCTCTCATATCTTAGGAGGACACAGTAATGCATATTCAGTATGAGCTATATTGAATAAACCCAAGCAAGGGTACAAACAGTTCATGTGTACCATAGTTGACATACACACAGTTGCAAATGCACCATCACCTCAATAATCACCCTGGAGCGAAGGACAATTTTGGCATCTATGCATAGACAAGATTATTCATTTTTGAGCTTTCCATGGAAATTAATTGTGTTGTGTTTTTTTTTAAACTAAATGTCAGATTTCTAGCATTAAATATTATTGAATTATTTTTGTAATTGTCATTTTCTGGACCATTCCCAGTCTTGAGACAAATGTATTTTTATATATAAATTAGATTTGTGGAATTTGAAGTCCAGATTTTACCCTTCTTTTTATTATTGGATTGTTAGGCATACACTGACCCGGGTGCCCCATAAACACTTTTTAGAGAATATTGGCCAATGTAGCCAGTTTTGTTGGGACTGAGCTGCCGTTGTCGTGCCCTCTGCCACCTTTTGACTAGAATTCCAGATGACTGTTTAAGGGCCTGTGTAGACGGGCTTTGGGCTTGTGTCTATGGCAACCGTTTGGGTCACTTCTGAGATCATTCAGAATTCATGGACAGGTGTATTTGACCTCTTCCTGACTTCCATTTGACCTGCTCCATGGAGGTTTTGGATTCCTATAGACTTGTATGGGAATGCAAACCCGCTTGAAGCAAACAAAAGCGACACAGGCCCTACAGAGATTAGAAGAGCGGCTAACATAAATTGATACCAGGAGAGGAAAAAATGTCTGCTTGAAAATACAATCAAAATAATTTGCTTAAATGTCAATCTTTAGTTTTTATTTAAAGCCTAGCGTTAGCCGAAATTCTGTTTCAGTTTTTAATAGAGTGAGTAAAATTGTATGTCGGATTTTTGTTATTTTGTCTGTGTCCTCATTGGGGAAGTATCCTCTCACTACATGTCACAGTGACACCAAGGCAGGGAATTAGAGGGTGAAGGTGTGAATGGGACAGGAAGACACACAGCACAATCATAATCTGACAGACGTTCTAACCCTTCAGTACTCTATTAATTAAAGTGACATTAAAGTCAAAAATGCTGCTGTAGGGACGTACCTTAAATGATGTCTCTTAGGCCTGGTTCACACCTGGGCGTTTTACGCTCTGTAAAACACTCAACATGTGAAAACCAATGATTGCCTATGGGCATGGTTCCCACCTGGGCGTTTTACAGCGTTTAGGAACGCACTGCAAAACGCCCTACTCCCAAAGAAGTACAGGAGCTTCTTTGGGATGTATTTGCAGTGCGTATCCATTGGGATACAGTCAGGTAGCCCTCGGAAACGCGTGTTTGTCGCACGGTTTTTACAGCAAATCTCACGGTAAAAACGCGCGACAAATGCGCATATTCGATACGCCTAGGTGTGAACCCAGCCTTAATCTGATCTTCTTCTTTCCTATCCTTTTCAGCTGTCCCTCCAGCGCTGACTCCTCTGTCCTTCTCTCATGTACCACGGTGTCTGTGCAGGTGCAAGCTGCTCCAGCTGCTTACCTTGTGTCTCTCCTCGTCTCCCAGCTGAACATCTGAAGTGCGTGTGCGCCCACCCCAAGATCCTTTGCGGCCACCCAAGACTCTTCAGATGTTCGGACGGGAGCACGCGGCAAAGACACAGGTAAGTATTGAGCTTTTTTAAAAGTTTTTTTTTTCTTTTAATGTTTTTGCATATATCTACTGCTTGACAGCAGTAGATATATGCAAAAACATGTGAGGGTTTAAAAACCCTTTAAATGTGCTTTTGTTGCTGTCTCTGTTCCCATCAGAAAGATATCCAATACCACCCTGTCCTTGTGACACTGTCACCGATACAGAAAGTGAGGTTCAATCTCCCTCACTGGGGACAGAGCTTTTTACCCTTTCCTACTATATTCAAAACCAAAAAGTTTTGGTTAGAGTTGGGCTTTAATTATGGTAAAAAGAAGCACAAAGCTAATTCTGGTCTGTAATATATTTGTTTCTATTTCTAGGATTTGGGAATCGATTTGCTAAACCAAAGGGTCCTAGAAATCCACCGCCAACATGGAACATGTGACACAACCCCACAATATGAACATTGGAACCTTTGTCACTTCAAATGTCCACTGTCACCTGACAGTTGTGAAAAGTTCATACTGCAATATAACTAAACAATATGACAAGTATCCATCCCTGAGATGTTACTTGAGTGCATTCTGATTCATATGTAGTATTTAGTGATTTTGAAGTTGTTGCAATTGTTTTACACATAGACAGAGTACATCTACTGTGATGCACTTCTCTAAAAATCAGAAAATGTCTAAGCCTCTATTCTTTGATATGGAGATATTTTATTGCCCCAAATGTAAAATGTGCCAAAGTGATGGCATGCAGAGATTTCTAAAACCATTCCCAAGTTAGAAGTGCATATGTTGAAAAGGCCCCAAGCATGTGTACATATTAGGTTTCTGTGCATATCTTCCCTGTTTGCTAAGCGCAATCACAATAATGAGTCATAGCAAATATTTTGGCCTTCACATTTACAGTCCTGCATGCAACCAATCCATTGTCTGGGTCAGCGTGTGTAAATGGCTAAAAAATAATTTTCTATTCCAGGAAAGTGGTGCTGTTCCTATTATCTGGAGCTGATGAAATAATTGCCCAATATCTTGCAGTGAACAATTGAAACTGTGTGAGTCTTAATGATGCTAAACTCAGGGCAGATAAAAGGCACATGTTAAAGGAGAACTATGGGGTAATTGTTTTTCCCCCTAGTTCTCCTCTGGGTCACGGGAGGACATAAACTAGCGTCCTCCCGTGACCCAAAGCTCAGTATACCGCGAGCTACAGTTCGCGGTATACTGAGACCGCCGCAGCTGGGACAGATCCCGACATTACTGTCGAGATCCACCCAGCTGCGTGATTGACAGCTGGCTCTGCCAATCTCATAGTTCACCTCATAGTTCTCCTTTAATGCAGCTCTGCTCCATTCACAGTTATATTTTAGCGGTGTCCAGGGATAGTGATTGATTCCTAACCACATGTAATCGTATCACATACGGTTACATGCGGTGTGGCGGCGTTCAAATGCAGCAGCTGTCACCCGATCATTAACTTGAATGGGTGACAGCTGCCGCTTGTAAAAAGCAGATTAGGGATTCCTGCTGCAGGAAATCACAAGTTCCTGACACAGGAATCCCTAAACTTACAGGTGTGAATAGGGCCTTATTGTATTTTTAAATAGAAGTGTAAGTATCAGCCTCTTGCAGTTTCTGTATAGCAGAGCTGGAGTGTGAGAAAAATTGGCAGCACAAGTAGCTAATCAGTTCATGTGCTGACAAGAAGCATGCTGATAGGAAGAAAAAGCAGAGACAGTGTGTTGTGTGCTGTTTCCCTTTTCACTGTCCAGTAACAGGCTGAGGCAGGTCCAGGATAACCTGGGCTCAGAGGTAGTGAGCTGAATGATGCTGAATGATGCTGAATGATGCTGGCCATCACACTGAGGACATCTAGCTGCAGAAAAAAGTACTGCAGGGGAAATCTCTGAACTGAACGAAATATTGTGTCAGAAGTTTTTTTTTTATTTATATTTTAATGGGCTATTCATTTTTATCTTGTTATTATTGTCTGGCTTTCTACTTTAAAGCAGAACTGTATGTAGCTATAAACTCTAGTTAGGTATTCATTAAAAGGATGACATATTTTAAATAGTATCTCAGTCTATGTTTATATTGGTCTCCTGCAATTTTTTGGACAGCTGGAGTGAATGAGGAAGGTAAAGATTGTAAGCCACTCCGAATGCATTACACAGTGCTGTCAATATAACACTGGAAGCTTGCTCATAGGCAAAGAAGGAACAAGGATGACCTCAATAGTGAGCTGCTGCTCCTTCATTGCCCAGTCATGGGCAAGGTTGGGTCGGTGACCAAGCTGTATTGCTTCACTGCAGGGGACAGAATTGAGTTCAGGGACCTTGCTATGCTATCCTGCAGGGGTGCCTGGATCACAAGATTGGCTACACAGAATAACATGCCCTTAAGCAGTTCAGTAAAGAATGGGAAAAGAATGCAAATATTGCTATTAAATATAATCTTATTATTGTAATGGTAATTATAAGATTATTTATGTCGATTAAACATGTTTTAAATACATAACTGTCTTTTTCCCCCCTTTTTGTTCCACTGTCAGATCACAATATGGTCATACCTAGGTTATACAACAGCCAGTTAAAGGGACCATAACTAGACCCTAAGTTGCAGCTCCTGTCATTTTTAGATAAGATTGCCTCATCATTATAAATGCTGTTTGAGTCACTATGTACATAAACTTCAGATATTGGGAGAACTAATGTATTTCAACATTTTGCAGGACGGGTCTACACTAACTTGGGTCTCATATAAAAGTGTTAGTAATTAGAACTGTCATTATTTTCCTATAGTCACAATGTGGATGCCTGCCTTATCTTTGAAAATAAAAACCAGGATCAGAATGTATGAATATAACTGGTGGGCTGTAAGGAAAATAAGTTGTTAGTACTAGAATTTAGATTCCTGACCTCCCAAGTGATTAGTAATTCCAATCAATGAAATAAGAAGAGATTATTTCTAGTCAAAGCTACATTCGAAATTTCATCTGCCACACTGTTATAGATTTCAAGGTCCCATCCTGAGGACACATGTGCATCAAAATGTGTCTAAAACTCCACGTGGGCATCCATGTTGTCAGATTGCTAAATATCTTACACCTGTCGGTGTAGATAGTGTCATTTATACAGCTTCAATGCCGGTCTCCTTCAGAACTGTATCAGTACTTGGGTTGTAGGATGCTGCTATCTACTGACACACAGATAAGGTGAATGTGGCTGAACCATCAGTAAATCATGCTTGCTCTCTACTCTCTGGATACCCAAATGTGTAGCCTCCTTCATAGGTAAGCTGTAGCATAAGATTTTTTTTCACCTGACTAGGAACTGGTAAAGGTCTCTGAGATCTCAGCTACAAATCCCCTCTCTCTGGAGTATAACATCCTTTTCTCCAGTATTTGGTTCTGGACTACAGTTGTTCTAGTGGTTAGTCCTTTATCTCTCGCCCATCCTGCTATTGGCAATGTAATATAAATAGTTTTGTTTTTCCTGTAATGGCATCTACATGATGAAGTGTTGTGAAGGCCCCAGTTGGGTACTTCTCCAAGAACATGTACTTTTCTTGTGCAAGTGAAATTTAATAGGTATTGCTCACTGTATGTTCTTTCAGTTTTACCTGCACAGACTCCAGGATACAACACCGTCCAGCTCCACTAAATTCTAGTGCCTGGGCCTCCTAACATTTTGGGTCTGCTTAGGGTTTAGGTCTCTCTCTCTCACTCTAAGACACACCACAACCTTCCCAGAATTTTTTTTTGTTATACCTCAAGTGGGGTTAAAGGGTGTGGCCAGTACTTTACTCCCTGCATACTGCTACACAGCCCTACCACAACCACAAGCTTATTTCATAAAAGAAACACAATCTAGGGTGCAGGTAAACCCAACCCAAAACACTTCCCTGGACCCAATACAACTGTTGGTCGCATTACCTATTTATGTTGCAGAGGTTAGCTTCAAACAGAGCTTGCAGAGAGGTAGTGTCACATCTATGTAACATGATGCATCATGCGATTGGATCCCCCACATAAGCTCAAGCAGAACACTCTGTCATGGATTGAGCATGATGTCAAAATGAGCGGCCAAAGTTAGTGTAAGCCTCAGCATTGCAGCCCTAGTGCCCACTGCAACCGCAACATCCATTGCACCCCTGCTACATCTACAGTCTTTACTGCATCTCCATTGCACCCGCAGGCTCTGCTGCACCTCAGTTGTTCCTGCAGCCTCTGCACCACCCACAGTCTCAGCCTCTGCTGCAATTCTGCTACATGACCAATCTCTACTGCACCCACAGCCACTGTTGCACCTCAGCTAACAACTCGGCATCGATAGTGTCTACTAAATCCACAGTCTAAATCTCTGCTGCACCACCTCTATACCCGCAGCCTCTAGTCTTCACTGCTCCTCCTCTGCACCCACAGCCTCAAGCCTCACTCCTGCTTCTGCTGAGTGCCCTTTACACACTCCAGTTCCTTGTTTACTGCCACCTACCCTCACCTGTCAGAACACTAGCTATGTCTTATATTTCACTTTCAGAGACAGCAGCCACAGAGTGGAGCTGGGTCCACATCTTGGCCTGTGACACTGTAGTAGTATTGTAGTGTTGGCTAGTTCACAAAGCTTTGTTTGTGTAAACTGGCTAAATTCTTCAACCTCAACATTTCTGCTGTTGTTGTAATATCCAGTACTCCCAAGAGTACTACAGTGGTTTTTTTAAAAAGAGAGAATACAACACAAGCTGTTTTCTTTTAGACAATATCTGTCTGGCTGAAAGGACATACTGGACTATTTGAAGGGAGAGGAGTAAGGGAGACTTAGAGCACTGCTCTAACTCATTCACTTGTGTGTAAATTTTAGCTTGAGCTATTGAGCTCTATAAATCTCAGGAGAACTAGCCAAGTCGGTACACAAGAGATCAGTCCATGAGCAGTCAGGTTAGGAATAATTGCACGGAAGGGGCTCAGGAACAAGTGTTGCTCAAGCAACCAGAGACTGGTCTGAGAGGGATTTAAACAGGGAGACACATGGGAGGCTGGACAGGAAATAGCAGGAAGTGAGGTATATTAACCATCAGGTGAAGCAGGCGACACCAATAGCTGCTAAGTCAGTGCAGCAAGAGCAGAGCACAAGCTTGTGGAACCTCAAGTGACAGAAGACCTACAGCAGCAAAAGGTAAAGGACAAATGCAAACAGTAAGACACAGATCGGGTCACCTGTGACAGTACACAATATCCCCCCCTCCCCATCCCCCCCGCCCCCAGCTCACGCTTACGAGGTCCCCCCTCACGTCTACAGGCTGGCTTGGAGGGGAATTTCCAATGAAAATTGATCACCAATCGTGGGGCTGAGACATCTTCAGCAGGAACCCAAGACCTCTCCTCTGGGCTGTAGCCCTTCCAACCAATTAGATAGAGAAACTTCCCCCGGGAGTATTTGGA